GTTGGTCTTTAATGTGTCGGAACATGGGAACGAGGAAAGCACCGGTCTTTCCTGAGCCGGTTTTTGCCACGCCGATGACATCGCGACCGGACATGATCGTGGGAATGGCTTGGGCTTGAATAGATGTGAGGTTTTCCCACCCGAGTTTGTGAACAACATCTAACGTCTGAACGCCCAGACCGCATTGCGACCACTTTTGAACAGGTTTAGGCACGTCCCGACCACGGACCTTGATGCCATCCAGTTCTAGTCGCAAATTTGCTACCTCCTCCTCGGTCATCTCAGCAAGGTTGGACGGTTCTGTGTAAAATTCCTTGCGGAACGGCTCATACTCGATCTTCGTGTGGTCGATATCAGGCATCTCCCGTTTCTTCTTCTTAATTGCTGCTAGAGCGAGGACATCTTCAGCCTTCTCGTCACCGACTGCAGTCACATCCACATCCTCCTCGTCGCCAAACATCGCCTCTGGTTGTTGGTGTGCGGTCTTCTTGGCAAAAGTGGCCCCGGTTTTCCGTTCAGGCGGCGTCGAGTCTTGGAGTTCAGCCATGAACGCATCCAGGGGATCAATTTCTTCATCATTGTCAACGTCCATGGTAGAATCGGCCTGGTCATTCGTGGACTCCTCCATATGGACATCCTCATTTTGATCCTGGAGTCGTGTATCTCGGCGTTCAGTTGCAGCACGCGCTTCGGCTGCTGCGTGTTCTTCCGTTCCTTCAACTTGCATGTCTACATCATCATCTTCCACAGCATCGTCTACCTCTGCACCCACATCGAGAGGCATGGTCGGCAATTTCTCGAGTTTCTTGCGTGTTGATCCCTCATCTCCATCCCCAAAGCCCAGAGTTTTAGAAGCAGAGGGCTTCTCCGTTTCAGAAACTTGCCTCACACCCAGGCCGAATCCGCTGACATTACCTTTGGCTTTCAAGGGAGCAGAGAGCGTGGCGGGGGCAGCACTAGGTATGTTGACTTTCGTAACAGACGGGGCTTTGGAAGATACCGGGACAGCAACATCGGTACCAAGCACGGCGGGAGCGGTCGTGGTCGTGGTTGATGATTTGACGATGGCCTTTGGATCAAACTTCGACTTTCCGGGCAATGCAGCGGGACCTGGAGACACAACCGTTTTACGGTCAATCGCTTCGAGGATTTTCTTCGGATCAACCGATGCCTGTTCTTTTTGCTTCTTTTCGCGTTCGGCGGCTTGTTTCTGTTTCCATGCTTCAAGCTTGGCAAGTCTCTCTGCTTTTTTCGCCTCGTCTGTCTGCCCAGTGGGGGCCGGTGTGGATGGCTTGGATGGCTGCGGGATACAATTAATGCCGAGATCTGGGCAGTATGTAAGATGGGAGCGGCTTACCTCTCGGGTTCTGGACCTGGACCGTCGGCTCGGAGCACGATCACGGCTATCATCCCGTCTAGACTTGGGCTTCAAGTCAGCAGAATCATCTATCCGCCTGCGGTCCCGATCGCGGGAGTCATCTCGCCTGGAACGGTAATCCCTATCACGACTCCTACGGCGGATATCATGGTCATCATCTCGGCGCCGGTCTCGAGATCGATCTCTTCGAGCTGGTCGATAAGTATCTTCGTCGCGCCGGTCTACGGGGAGGTCTCGTCGTCGATATGCATCTCTATCGCGAGGGCGGTCGCGCCCACGGTAACGTCTCTAGATATCACCAGGATGGTCAGATATTGCAAGACAAGATGCGAATTTGCGATGCGCCACACGTACCTCTGGGCTGCGAGATCTGCGGTAACTGCGCCCATCATCCCGCCTAGTTCTCTCATAGCGATCATCCTCTCTGCGAGGTCGCCGGGATGAAGAATATGTGCTGCCTACAGGTGATGGTGAGCGAGTATCTCCGTGGCGAGCCATTGTTGCAGGCTGATTAGTGAGTGTTACTGGAACGCAAAAGCACCCGGGACACGGATTGATGGAGAGAGGGGAGGGAGAGAGAAAGCGCCCCGCGAAAAAAAATGGGCTGAGACGACAATTCAGGGGTCAGACCACCAAGAGAGAAGAGCGTGTGAGGTGTTTGTCTATCGCATCTTTACTTGCGCAAACCGTTGGAACGAAGAAACAGATTACATAATGCCATGCGGAGGAGCTAGTCCCGATGCGGATAGGTACGCTAAAGCAAGCGCGACTCCTCCGCTTGCGTCAACAGCTCAGCTCCTCTTATCGATTCTCGGCTTTTGAAGATTCAATTGCTGATTTATCTCATTTGACCTCACTCCAGCTAAACCTCCTTCGATACTCACTTCATGTCTTGGCAGTCGGCAGCTCGGGGGGGCTTCCTCCGCACCCTGCATCGTGGTGCTCTCCCTTCCCGTACTGGCGTGAGCGACTTACAGAACCAGCTTAGTCGTGTCCGACTGGGAGCGAACTCCAGCCCGGCGCGCCCGCAATTCCAACCCATTTTCTCTATCCAATCCCAGTTCCAAGCGAATTCATTCGCAACTGCTTCTACCCCTCTCAAGGCGAGCAAGACGCCCAAGGCGAAGACCCCTAAGACAGCCGCTAGCAAAGCGAAGAAGGCCCCTCTCAGTGAGAAACAACAGGAAGACCTGAAGGTCAAGCAACAACGTGCTCATATCAAAGAGCTCAAGGCAACTGCGTTGGTCCGGCCCAAGAGGCTGCTCGCTTCTGCCTACAGTCTTGCTATGACTGAGAAGCTGCAGGAGCTTAAAGGTCAATACCCTGTTAAGGAAGCATGGTCCATTAGTGTAGAGCATGCGACATCCCTCAGTCCTCAAGAGAAGGAGGTATGTGCCCTTGAGCTTCTCGGTATACGTCAAGAGCAGCATACTAATCCACCAAATCCAGAGACTCCAAGCTCAAGCCGACGCGAACAGAGCCGCCAACGCCGCTGCCTACGACTCGTGGGTCAAGTCGCACACACCTCTCCAGATCAGGGAGGCCAACACTGCCCGTCTTACCCTTTCGCGTATTGGCAAGAAAAACTACCGTGCCATCAAAGACGACCGCTTGCCCAAAACACCGCAATCCGCCTACATTATATTCGTGACGCACCGCATGGATACCCTTGGTTACCAGGGAAAGCCCGGCACAGAGACCTTCAAAGACATTTCCGCTGAATGGACTAAACTACCCCAATCGGAGAAAGATGTAAGGACCCCCCTTGGCAGAATCAATACATACCGGACTTGCAGGCGCTAACTTTGAATCTAGCACTACCACAAATTACAAGTCGAAGATCGCCAGCGGTATGAGAAAGAGCATCAGAAGGTATACGGAGAACCAGCTCCCAAGAGCCCTCATTATAAAACACCGGAAGACTACAATTGAACCTGAGTCTGAAACCTGAACCTGATTTGTACCGGGGATATCCATTGATGTCTACCTAGATGAGGTTTCTTCCGGAGAGTGATTAGCTCACTGTGGACTTCCAAGCTTGTTTGTCACGCGCCGTTTTCAATTTCCCATATGGCCTGATTCATGTCCCTTTGTTGTATTGTAGTTCATCCTCTCAAATTGTTTTTCTATGCTGATTGTTTTTGTTTGGTCGAGCTGTGGAAGCGCTGCAATGTGGTATCGTAATGAATCCATGGAGAGTTTACCATCCCCAATCCAATTCAATTCCCTTTATAAGACTGTCCCCTTTAAATCAATGAGGCAGAAAGCCAAAAGACCCTTCTGATTCTTCATTTACGCCGCAGAATCTCCACCAACCCCGCACTGGGCCCTTGTTTTTTTGTTACTCCGAAGCTCAAGTGGCGGTGTGCAAAGGATGTGTTGCGCGTGCAGCTGGCCCTTTTAGTCTGGGATTTGCATCGAGTAGATTAGGCTCGAGGAGAATATTCCAGCATCTACGAAGCACTTCATGCACCTTTTGTAAAACATATTTTGTTTATGGTCCAAGCCCAAGGGTAAAAATGCCAACATCGCAGGTACAAACGGAACTATACGATGTATAACAAACATAGCGCAGTCCCTGCATTTAGGTATGAGATTGTCATTGTATGTTGTATGGACTATAAATATACATAGTACTTTATATAGTTATATGCAATTGGACTTAAAGTGGGTTATAGTACCACGGTACTGCACAAGATATTTTGTAATCCATGGACTTGAAGTTGGGAACCATGGAAATCGAACTGTTATCGCGGGGTTTGTGTAACATTGGGTTGTTGACCTCTCGCGTATGCCATGCAGACTGTAGAGAAAAAAAAACCTACACCTACATATTTTAGTATACATATATGTACATAGTACGGAGTACATATCGTCAGTTTCAAAGTGCTCTTGCTCCGTACTTCGTAAAGGAATGCACTGGGCACTTTTATGTTCCCAGCCATCCATATATTTTTTTTCCATCTCCTAGGGGTGTTGGCATAAATATGTTGTTCGAGTTTCAGTGACTCGAACAAACTTCTACGCTAATCTCAAAACACCCCCGACCACATAAATGCAATAACAACATTGAACAAGTACATTGTATACGGAGTACGAACGGAGTACGGAGTACATACATTTAACTTAGCGGGCCAAATGGGATGATCTTCACCTCCACCGCCTGAACTTATCCCTGCCTCTCCAGAAGATCCCCTCCCAGTCTAACTTTTGCATATTTTTCTCCCTTGACTCCCTTGACTCCTTGAAATTTCGTGTTCAATTCACAGCAAACACAGTTATACAGACTGTGGGGTCGTCTCTTAATCTGTCTATATACCACATATCAGCATCCAAAAACACCTGGAACTCGCGCCGGTCGTGCAGGGAGGTTATATGACTCGAATCTGACTCGAAACTACTGCTTAATAGTCTCACAACACCCGCTCGCACAGCGTTACCGCACCGACATTGCACTAGCGCAAATCCGCGCCGAAAAACAACGTTCGTTATCGATTGGGACAGTATCCCCCCACCAGGACTCGAATCTAACCCACCCACCGATGCGTTCGCTATTCGACATCGCTGAGTTACCACATCAGTGATCGGATCGGCCGTGAACCCGGCGCATGTGATTTTCGACATGGAAGCGATTGAGGGGTCTTATCGCGTATGCGCGGGGAAGACCAGCGCCGCGGAGGATGTCGCATACTACACACGGCGCATGCGAATGGAGGAGAAACTGCTCGACGAGGTCTGGACTACTTTCTCGACTAAGCTGGCGGAGTTGTACGTACCAGATACCTGGGTGCACCAAAAAGTAGATTTGGTCACCGGGTTGACTTCTCGCTTTCCGACTCGCTCGCCAGAGCCACCGTCGTACGACCAACCTCCGCCTTCCTACGACGATGTGATCCATGATTTACCTCCCGAATACTCTGCACTGCCTCCACTCGCGCAGCGCCAATCGACGGCTATTTTCTTCGCACCAAAGACGCCTCAAAAGCCGCATAAATCATCATCTTCGCTGCTGAAAGATCGTATGCTGGATGTACGCATTGATTTTGAGAATCCTACCGGTGTCCGGGAACACAAGAAGAAAAAGCCCGCGGCAGCAAAGAGAGCAGCTGCGCCCCCTTCTCCCCCTCCTCCACCACCGCCCCCGGCAGGCGGGGCTGATGGAGGAGACGATAATGCCAACGGTGACGGTGGTGACGGTGGGGCTGGTGATTCAGGCGGCGCTGGAGGTGGCGACGGGGGAGATGGAGGCGGCGACGATTGGGGCGATTGGAATGTGAGCGGAAAGAAGGATAAGAAGAAGAAACTGGAGGAGGAAGAGGAAGAGAGAAAAGCCAAGGAGGAGGAAGAGAGAAAGGCCAAGGAAGAGGAAGAGAGACTAGCCAAGGAGGAGGAAGAACGACAGGCAGGTGAAGCCTCGGCTGCCAAAGATCTTAGCTGGGCTGAGGATAACGGTGGGGGTGGGGGCGATGACTCGTGGGCTGCCTTCACGAATGTAGGAAAAAAGAAGAAAGGAAAGGTAAGATCATCCTCTTCCAATGTACAAGACGGGTGTCTAAGTAAAATTGCAGGGAGAAGTTGCACCCCCTGGGGGGTTCCAGGACATAAGCCTGGATAACGGCGCACCGCAATTGGACTTGAATTTTGATAGCCCGGCTCCCAAGACCGGCGGAACTGGGTTTAGTTTTGGAGGATGGGGCAAAGACTGGAATACCGGTGGTAAGCTCGATCCTCTTGGAGACCCAGCTCCCAACGACGAATCCAAGGACAACAATCCCTGGGGAGCAACCTCCAAGAAGACTGGCGACTTCGATTTTGACTTGGGATCTGCACCAGCTGAAACCAAACAAGAAGATGACTGGGGAGGAGGTTGGGATGCGAGCAAAGACAATAAGGGGACGGAGCCCGAACCCGAGGCTCTTGCGCCTCCACCTCCGCCTCCACCCAGAGTCGATTTCACACAGGAAGCCTGGTATCTGAATCTCTCCAAGAAAGAGCAGCGTAAAGCGAAGAAGGATATGGAGAAGAAATACAAAGACGAGGATGAAGCTGCGGCAAAAGCGACAGCAGAGTGGGAAGCAGCCAAGGCTGAAGCCGAGGCAGCAGCAGCAGCAGCGGCAGAGGTAGCGGCAGCGGAAGCGGCAGCAGCTGTACCTGAACCAGTGGTTGAGGAGACTGAGAAACCACCCGACGCAGATACTGACTGGGGTTGGGGTGTTCCAGTGAAGACCAAAGATAAGAAGAAAAAGAAAAAGATTGACCTTTTAGCTGATCCGGAGCCTATCATCCATGAACCGCCGGCAAAACCGACAGAGCCAGTTGATGTTTTTGCGGCTTGGGGAATTTCCTCAAAGGACAAGAAGAAAAGCAAAGGCAAAGCCGAGCCAGTACCTGAGCCAGAACCCATCCCGGAACTTGAGCCTGAACCTGAACCTGAACCGGAGCCAGAGCCGGAACCTGAACCTGAACCTGAACCAGTGCCCGAACCTGAACCCGAGGCGCCAAAGGTGCCCGATGAGCCTCTATACGAAAATTGGCGCGAGATATCGTCTAAAGAACGCAAGAAGCGAGAGAAACAATTAATGCGCAAGGGTCTTCCCATTCCCGGCAAGGATTTCGAGCTCCCATCGGACCAGCCGCCTGAAGAAGTGCCTGAACCGGTTGCTGAACCGGAGCCAGAACCCGAACCAGTGCCTGAGCCCGAACCCGAGCCAATACCGGAACCTGAACCTGAACCTGAGCCAGAGCCAGAGCCAGAGCCAGAGCCAGAACCGGAGAAAGCGGTCGAAGAAGACTCTTGGGGCATTTGGGGGCCAACAAAGGACAAGAAAAAGAAGAAGAGCAAGGCTATTGAAGAACCTCCCCCACGTGCGCCGACACCACCTGCCCAGGGTTTGACTCCAGAGCCGGAAGCTTTCTATGACAATGCCGACGATATTTGGGCGGAGCTACCCCCTAAGGCATCCAAGGGCACAAAGAAGACCACGAAAGCCATTGAACCGCCCAAAGAGGAAAAAGCATCTAAAGGCTTTTGGTCGACCCTGACCGGGGGTTCTACGATCAAAACCAAATCGACGAAGAAGGCGAAAGAAGAGAAGGAACCCGAGCCTATAGAAGAGGAAGACCTACTTATCGATGTTGACGACAACCCCCCAGCACCTGAACCAGAGGCAGAGGCAGAGCCTGAGCCTGAGCCTGAGCCTGAGCCTGAGCCTAAGCCGGAACCAGAGCCGGAACCAGAACCAGAACCAGAACCTGAACCAGAACCTCCTGCCCCCGAAAAGATATCCAAGTCTAAGGCTTCTAAGCTCAGCGTTGCTGAACGTATCAAGGCTTTGGAGATAGCCAAGAAGGAGAAGGCAAAGGCAGAGAAGGGTAGCTTGAAGAGCAAATCCAAGGAAAAAAAGGTTGAACCCGAACCAGAACTTGAGCCGGTGCCGGAGCCAGAGCTTGAACCTCCTGTAGAGGAGCCCGCTCCTACAAAGAAAAGTTCAAAATCCAAGTCTAAGACAGCGGAAGCTCTTGAGTTTGAAGAAAGGAAAGTCTCGAAGGACTCTGTTCCTGGAAGCTTCCCAGACTTTGGAGATGATCCCGAGCCTGAACCTGAACTTGAACCCGAACCTGAGCCAGAGCCGGAACCTGAACCCGAGCCGGAACCCGAGCCTGAGCCAGAACCTGAGCCACCAGCCCCAGATCTTTCAAAAATGAGCAAAAAGGAACTGAAGAAGTATAAAAAGGCCGAAGCCGAGAAAGCCGCAGCTGCCGCTGCCGCGGCTGCTGCCAGGGAGCCAACCCCACCACCTCCAGAACCGGAGCCAGAGCCGGAACCCGAGCCAGTGCCTGAACCCGAGCCTGAGGCAGACCCAGCGCCTGAGCCTGAGCCTGAGCCTGAGCCTGAGCTCGCAGCCGACGCCGAGCCCGAACCTGCACCGGAGCCTACGCCCGAGGAACCAGAGGCCAAGGACGAAGCTGCACCGGAGCCTACCGAAGAGCCTCCAAAACCCTCCAAGAAGGACCGAGCACGCGCTGATCGAACGAATACCTCTTCATGGGGAAGCTTTGGGGGGGCCCACCACCCCCAAAGAAATCCAGCAAGAAGGAAAGTAAGATCCAGGAAGAAGCAGAACCTCCAAAGAAATTAAAGAAGGAAAACAAGATCCAAGAGGAAGTGGAACCGCCCAAGAAGTTGAAAAAGGAACCCAAAATCCAAGAGAAAGTCGAAACCCCCAAGAAAAAAGAATCTCGAAAATCCCGACCAAAAGAACCGGAGCCAGAAGTGGAAAGGTCTTCTGCGTCAGACCGGGAGAAGCGGCGAGAACGAGAGGGGCGTTCCTCCAAGAACCAACGTGGCGTGGCCTTGGCCAACATGGTACTGGGTACACCTCAGTCCAGAAGCAAATCGACTCGCAAACCTGGTTCTTCGTCGAAACCCGTATCTAGACGTCCATCATTTGATATTGATGAGAAACCTGTTGATCCATCACCGGATGAGAAGCCTGAGGTTTCTGACAAAGCAGCCAAGTTGATGGGCATGGATGCTTCCAAGTCTCGACGTGAGCGCCCGCGCACGGACAGGCGGAAATCAGGTATGTACTTTTCACTTCTCATTTACTCTACTCTCGCTGACTTGCCGACGAAATAGTTCGAGATCCATATGCGATCGAGGATGACGATCTTGTTATGGTTGATATGGAGGATGCCGAGGGCCATTCACCTAAGGAGGGCTCCAAGGGCTCAAGGCGCAAGTCAAAGAGACAGGTATGTCGGAATGACCGCATTATTATTTGCGCTGTTTTGTACTAACTCACGATTGCTTCATAGCCGCGCCCCAGACCCGACGATGAGGACGATGCCGTCATGGTCGACCCATATCAAGCATATCCCGTCCCAGATGTAATGTCCGGACCCGACGATATGGCCTTTGTCGATGCGCCACCAAGAGAACGCCGTCTAAAGCGGTCCAACACCGCACCGCCAAAGAAACAAGAGAGCGGTGGATTCATGGGCCTCCTGGATTCTCTAAGAAAAAGCACACGCCCAGACCGAGCAGAACGCCCTGAGATGTCCGAAAGACGGAAGTCACGCTCATATCGCGACGACGACGGAAGATATCCGCCAGAAGTGGAGCGCGACGGTGCTCGCAGATCACGTCGCGAAGATCGACGCCGAGGATCTGTTCGACCAGACACCGATGCCGAAGGGTTCATTACCGACGCCGCCGGTGTAGCAGCAGGCGGCGAGACAGAAGCCGACGAAGCGGAAGCTCGACGCGCAGCACGACACGCACGACGTGGATCCCGGAAGGCGCCTTCTGACTCTCGTGAAACCGAAGCTCGGGAAGCTGAGGAGCGGCGCGCGAGGAGAAAAGAACGGGCACGCGAGCAGCGTGCTCGTGAAGAGGAAGAGGAAGCACGTCTACGAGAAGAAGATCGTTTACGGGAAGAAAAGCGGGCTCGACGAGCTGCACGTGAAGAACGTCGTGCTCGAGAACAGCAGGCGGCCCGTGAGGAGCAAGCGGCTCGCGAAGCCGAAACTAGAGCGGCGGAACGTCGCGAGCGCCGGCGGATGCGCGAAGAGGAGATGATGGCCGCCAGAGCGAGTCGACGTCGTGAACGTGAGCAAAGGATCCCTGATGAGGTCTTCCCCGATGAGCGTGAGGTCGACCGTCGTGGGGCTCGTAGCTCCCGTGCGTTTGAGGAGCCCAACGCTCGTCGTCGGAAGTCCAAGGTCGCTCCTGAACCGACTCGGGAACCACTCATGACTGGTGGGTTGAACCGTGGCGGGGGTGCGAAAGACAAGATTTCCTCTTGGGTTTACTCGCAAAGTGATGAACCTCCGGAGCCACCCCAAATCGTTCCCACCCTTATTGATCTGCCTCCTCTTGCAGCTGACGACGGAGGTAATGCTCATTCTCTTTCGTCGGATGAAGAAGCTCGTCGCGCTGTTCGCCGTAAGGCCCGTCGTCGTGCTAAGTATGAGGAAGAGATTGACGATGCTCGTTCTCGGCATCGTGGGTCACGGCGTGAAGGTGTGAAGAGCAGTTCTGGAAGTGGTGATTATGAACGTGATCGTGGGATGAGGTCCCAACCGGGGAGTCGACAAGGTGCTCCGCCGAGTTCGGGGCCTAAGAAGCCCAGTTGGTTCCGTAAACTGACGAATCTGTAAACCAGAAATTTGGTCTTTTTCTATTTTTTTGGTGGGAATTTGTTCTATTTGTTTTATATATTGCTTGCAGCGTTGCCTTTTTTTTCTTCTCTTTTTTTCTTCTTTTTTCTTCTGGTTATCTACAAAGGTCTGTGATGAAACTCCAGACAGATCGGATTTGACGACATGTATGAAGCTCATATGATACTACGACCCAGCAATATACACAATTTGGATTCTTTGATAGTCTTCTCAGATACTCTTCTGTGTATTTGACTTGGATATCTTCTTTCCCTCCTACTTCTATATGACAAGTGCACAATGGCCAAACACGACTGAATAAAACCTCAATGAAAGCCAATTGAGACGATTGTGGCCTGATCCCCAAGGTGTCGCCAACGGCCACTTCGATATCGTTCCCTCTCTTTATCAGAACCAAAGTGAACCACAATGTCATTTGTTTCTCCAGTATTCCCATCTCCAAGAAACATGCCTTCCTTGCACCCACACCAAAGTCTCCGAGCTGGATAATTCCAAACATCTCCAGTCCCCACCTGATCGAGGTATCAAGAACCTTCTCTATACATCCCATACATGTCTAACCAACCCACTTCACCAGGTCAAGGCCATTCTCCCGAAGTCACAACATCAATCCATCACCCACACCTCAGCCCATGAACCGACCATTCCTCGAAGTCAACCACCGCGCTCAGCCGTCCAAACTCGATATCTGCGCCTCAAATCCATCAATTACACAGTCCCATCTCCCGTCCCTCCACACAGAATGTCCGCACCAAGTACCGTCTACGACTTCCAAAAAGAACGCACCATCTTCCTCTCCTGGCTCGAAGACCAAGCCCGACTTATGAGACACCAACCAGCATCCGACACCATCACAGAAGTCAAAGCGATCCTCCGTGACCAGTCCATTGAATACCTCGATCGACTGAAACAAGCTTCGATTGTCATGGCTTGTGAGGCGAAAGATCATATCTGTGTGATGGCCAAGCCGGCGCAGTTCTACGAAGTCGATGTTCCGAATATGTGCAGTGCGCTGCAGTTACGACTACCACAGCTTGCTTCGAGGCTCGGGATCAATCCTAAATGCGACATGTGTGTTCATTTCATTATTATGAATATTGTGGCGGAGCCCGGGTTCTAGGTTGGTGACTTTGGGGTATAGATTGTTTGTGAGATAGCAATGGATTTTGTTTTAGCAACTTACCCATGTCGTATAGACATGGGCACGAGGAGCATCTTTGCATTGACATGTACATGTAGCCTGTGGATATCAAGTATGACATTTTGTAGGAACAAGATCTACTCAACCTTGGGAACTACTCATCTTTGGGGACCCTCATGATACTTGTACGTAATTGATATTCTGATCACTAGGGACATAATGGAATTCAACACACATCATTTCAGTAGAACCGCCTTTCCAGCCTCCAATTCCTCAACCTCCTTTTGCAGCTGTCGTCGTCTGCGCTTCGAGGCTCGTCCTTCTCCAACAAACTCCTCCAGCCTCTCGTCGGATAGGTCGTTGACCCATGACGGTGAGAACAGCTTCATAGGGGCCTCGGGCCCAGTGACCAGATAGTGATCGGCTGCTTGCATACATACATTGTCAACGAACCTCTTGCGAGCCACCTTGTAATATGAATCCAGAATGTCATGAATATCTCGGACGGTATGGTCAACATTGCTCATGTGGTGTTGCTGAGCAAGGTCACTTAGTCGGATGACCTCTCCGTGTTTACAATCATCGAAAGACTTTTTGGCCACAGTCGAATATAGTCGCTTTTGTCGACTGCATGATTTGAGAAGTTAGCGGCCAAACCCTTAATACATTCAGAAAAATCTAGCTAACTGACCATTTTTGGAGGTTGTCATTGAAGTAATGGTTGAGGGTAATCGGAGTGCCTTCCCGTTCAATTCTCAAAAGAAACTCGACAGTTGACATGGCGTGTTTGTACTTTTCAACCAGATCATCCATCAACAGGGACATTATCTTCGAGGACATCTCTGTGTCTTTAGACACAACCTCCAGTGCATTGCGTATGAATGCATGCACAACGCTGATGATGTCACTAATGTAGCCCGACGCAAGGACTGACCATTTGATTGACTGCTTCTTCATCAAGGTAGAGAGCAAAGTATGGTTGAATGTACCAATCTCAAAGCCCCGAGAATTGGAGTAAACACGTTCAATCCAAGGGAGGATGCCCCCTTTGATGGAGGGCTCCACAGGTTCCGAAACATGTAGAATATCGTCAAGGTCCTCTACCGAAGTGCTCCGGGTTGGGTCCCAGCTTTTCCGGCTCGGCATGATGCTTTGTGGGTTTTCAGTATCAGTCAGGTTATTGCATCTTTCTTCACGATCATCGACACTATTGTCTGTCTCCTCTGACTTCGACCGGAAAGTGTAGGTGTGGCCGCAATGGGCGATATCGTGTGAGAAGACATCATTTCTCAATGAAACCAGCGTGGCCAGTCGTAAATCTTTGTCTTCATCGAACGCATCATTGACTCCATAATTTGTGGCAAGTGCGTGCTGTGTAATCTCTTGAAAAGCAGACACAACATCTAGAAGGATCCGCCTCTGCTGCTCTGTTGTTTCTCGCGGGACTCCCAGGGATTGCAATAGGCTTTTCGAGCCTTTGAGTCTTCTGATCACTTCGGACCGCACCTTTATATAAATTAGCAAGTTTATTCACAGCAATAGATAGTTGTGCATACCGATGGAAACTCTCGGCGGACGTTTAACGTGAGGAGCTCTTGGAGGCGAGCCATTAACGCCGAAATCCCGTAATTGTCGGGCGGGACGCGATTCCAAGGCGCATTTTGATAGAATGTCATTTCTTCTGTGTCGCGGTCCGCATCACTAGCTTGAAGCTGCTTTTGGCTGAGATTCCGAACAAGGATCCATCCCAGCTGCCCGTTCAAGTTTCCATCATGTATTAACCGAATCACGTTGTGCTCGGCGCCTTTGTCAACCAGGTCAGGTTTGGTGAGGATCCGCAAGGTTCTTCCTCCTTCAGGGTCAATCTCCCTGGCCATCTCAATGATTTCCTGGGTGGCAATATCCACGTTTGCTGGAACCACAGCTAACATGATGGATCGTTGGTTCTGCATGTATCGAAGGACCATGTTCCTAACCAGCACAATGTCACTCTTCGTTGTTCTATCCAGCGTTGTATTCTTGAAAATTCCAGGGACGTCGATAACGCTGAGGTGACTCTCGTTTGGACCACGAATCTCGAGCTGTAGGACACTGTTGGAAAAGGTAGGCTTTTTGTCTCCATGAGAGGAAGAAAGGTTCATAACCCCGTGAACCTTGCAAGTCAGAATTAACGCAAAGTGTCATAATACAGTTCATATAAGTGTAATACCTCTTTCATCGTATGGCTGAAGTCCTCAGAATTCAGTGACTGAAGGGCAGAGGCCGTCCAGCCCCGCAGCTTCTGGTCCTCCTCTGGAGTTGAACCTGATGCAGGGATTATAGACGCAGATATCTCCCGTTCAACCAAGTTGCTATCACGTCGGAAGATAATTTGCGTGGCAAATCTCGTGCACAAGCCACTATCTCGGGGGAAGTTTAACTTGGTCAGACCCTCGAGGACCGAACTCTTACCGCTGGACTGGTCTCCAACGACAACGAGCTGTGGAAGACTGACATACTCCCCCACGTTGCAGGCGAAAAGTTTGTCAATCTTCTCAAGTAAAGCTGGATCAGCCAACTCGAGAGTTCTGGTGCGGGGTTCTGTGATCGTCATGGCTTCGGGTGTAGCTGACCGAAACTGACGGATACAGGAGCAGCCAGAAACAGGCTGGACTTGGAGTGGAAGTGGGTAGATGAATGAGCAGAAATGAAGAACCGGGTGGATAAGAGGGTAAGAGGTGAGGAGGAGGAGATGAGAGAAGAATAGAAGATGAGAAAGGGAATGGTGAAAGGGGAGAGGGGAAACAGCAAAGGCGAAAGGCGAAGATGGGAAGGAACCCAAAAGGAAAGGGCATTCTGGGCTATATGTTTTATAGCTACTCTCTTAATGGAGCCTCGGGCATACGTACACATGTATGTCATGGAATATCCGTTGTTTATTATTGCTTTCCATTGATTCATCCACTGTGAAGCCTTGTGGTAGCGAAGGTCTCTACAGACTAGACGGCACTACGGGTGTACTAACGCCATTGACTGATGAATCCGAGGGTTGTGACTGTTCTCTTTGCTTCTTCTCTTTCACTTTGATCGACGTCAATGGATTCTCCTCCCCATCTTTACATGTAGTATATATAGTGTGTAGATAAGCACCTATTCTAAATTTTATAGGCCCTAGTTAGTCACTTTTAGGTCTTCAAAGATAAGGTGAGATTGAAAAGAGAGGAAGTAAGAACGTAATTAGGAGCTGGGACTGTATAATAATCTCTCAGTAATTCAATCAATATTTCGCAGCAAAACGAATGCAATGTATAGAGGTTCTGTTTTGAACAAGCATCAGGTGGTTCCCCCATTATCTGCAACCAGTTGCTCTGTTACTCAAACACTGATCCACGAGAGTCCCTTGCAACTTGACACCATACACCTCACAACTGACATTGCTGGTACCACACGCGTTGATGCAATAGTTGGCAGCATTTGTGAGATTTTCAACCTGGAAAGTGGCATTCGCACTCCAACTGATACAGCAACCATATTTGCAGATACTCCGGGGGCTGCCTGTCTTCCACGTAGCATTGCCTCTAACATTCTCAAGGAGACTTCGACAAGAGTTCTTGACAGCGAGGTGGGCATTCGAACAAGTCTCTCTAAGCCAGCGTTTGCTTGGAGTGCTTGTCTTCGATTTGAGGCCGTGGAAGGCTTCAACCAGGAATTTCGAGCTGGAGGTACTGGCGTAAAGCTCGGCCAGCTGGGGATCAACTCTGCCACTATCCTGGTCTGTGATGGCATCCAGGAGAGACTCCTGCATCTCTACAGTCGAAACATTGAGATACTCGCTGTGGCCATTCATCGCGAAGGCACTGTACAAGTAGACGATGTCTCCCCACTGGCCTTTGGTCGCGGCGTCTTGTGCAAGGCCGGCGATGGCGTTGAGCGTCTCGAGATTGTCCAAAGTGTGGATTCCCAGGTCCTCCTGGATGTGTGGAAGTTTATCCACAGCAAACCCAGTAACATTGAGCCATACCGTTCCCTCGGCAGAGGGATCGGTGGCCACATTGCCGTATGCCAGAGCTGTGACGCTGTCTTCATAGCTGAGTTGCTGGCATTGTGCGGTGGTGGCCAGCGCACCAATCGCCAAGGCACCGATGGAACTTCCCTTGAACATTGTCTTGGGAGTATGCCGAATGGTATTGTAGAATGAGAGAGAAATTAGATGGGGAAGAAGGATGTAACAATCAGAAATGTTTGGCTTATCAATGACAAGATGTTCTCGTATTCTTTTTCCGCTGCTTTATACGGATGTACATGGAGCCTTTTATATTCGGGCTTGCTCTCCTGACATCCGTTTCTTCCAGCCTCGATACGAGGTGAAATGTAGATATAGGCGTTTTCAAGTTGATATTATGCTGATTCGCTGTCGTGGACCTGTGTTCTCCATAGAAAATGTCACGCTGTCATCCGCAGCTGTCAAACCTGCATAACAAGCCGCTGTTAGTGCCGGAAGTCTACTTCATTCCCGACTAGTGTGGCTTGGCAAAAATTCGGCCCGCCCCGAGAATACGAAGCATGCGCCCTGGGCTGTATTTTCAACTTTAAATAATTTGAATGAGATTACATGTAAGCAGGTACAAGCCACCATATTAGGCAGCAGCGTTTTCATACCCAAATAATGCTTAGCTGCGTCCAAGATCTTCTTGGCAGGGCAGTGACCGTTGTTGGACATAATCAAGTGGGAAGCTTATTCGAAGATTCGGAGTCTGAACCCTACTAGCCTGAATAAGAAGGTGACTCAGACGGTTAGATTGAGAGAATGATTAGATTGATTCCTGAACTCTTCGACCGTCAGCTATTAAAGTCTCAAAGAAAAGAGCGCGTTGTATATATAATTATCAGCATGTAGGAAGAGAAAAGAGGGGAGAGTTGTGAGTAGTGTTTCCGGGGTGTAAACAATGCAAATATCAACAGTCGGAATGAACTGACAGAATCTCCGCAGAACCCCCTGTCACATCGACGACATATTTAACATTTGAAGACTTGAAAAGTGAGATTATAGCCGAGATGTATATTGCACTAAATTATTTATGGAGTTTATTTTGCGAACATCATGAGGTGTTCTAAGACCTTGGGTATCTATCACTTCCTTATTTTCCCTTCCCCGTAGACTAAATGACAAGCTTAACCAATCGCTCATTTCAGCCCGTTTCTGTCATTATCTTGTTCTAAATTTCTCAACGTCAGAGCTTGCAAATTGGATGCCCACCCGCTTACATTGCATCATCCCCAATTACTTCTAGTTCCTTATAGTGTTCTTCATTCAGTGAATCTCACTCGCGACAAAGGTCTCCCCTCCAATTATAATTCAGAATTATTCGGAATGCTTTCTCCTTTGAGCCGGATTGTATTTTCAAGTTTACCCTCACGGGTTGTAAACATTCTGATCAGTCCAGGAGGAGACGGAAACCTGTTAACCGAAGTCAAAGACATTTCCCTTTCCACGACCATACACAAAGAGTTCACGTTTTCATCCTTCGCTCTCATTTCAAGCCAACTTTTGATTTCCACATTCGTACGTATTTTCTCTTTTATCCCTCGTCCCGCTTCGTTGTACTAAGTCATACTAACTGAGTTGACAAGGTCCGTTATCTTCTTGGCCATGTAGTAGCGATATCTTTAATCCTTGAGATTGCTCGATCGGATAGGGCTTTCTCGGATGAAGAAAGGGAAAACAGCAAACGCTCTCTGACCTTCCGATCAATCTACAAGGCCATACATAGCATATATGCTACACAGAGCTTTTACACGTTCTCCCGTGCGCTTGTGATAGGTCTTGTCTATCAGGTTTCTCATTATGCGGTTAGAGCTTGTTTGGAAATTGCAATTTTCAGGCACGAATTGCTGAAACCATTTGCCTATGCTTGTTCCTCTGTTCTCCTATGCAAACTTCATTTGATCTGGACCTATGCCACTCTCTCAGCATATCCACTTCAACTCCTGTCTTTCAAAGAAAATGCAGACCAGAGAAAATGGACGCACTTAGCAGCCCCCAGTTTCACATACGGGATATGCCAAGCCCTGATGTACGAGGCCCAGAGTCTAATACAAGGGTCAGTGATCTCTCCGGGAGATGAAATGTCAATATCCAGGCGCGCTGGTGCCGAGATTTTTGCAGTAATCATCATGCTTGCATTCCGTTTAATGGGGCTACTGCCAGCATCTATCGCTCTCATATTGACCGAAGCAAGCTTTTTGCCGGGCAAATTGGAGACAATCATTCCTTCTCCGACAAAGAATCGTGGATCAACAATTGCAGAGCTGCGCGGAGGAGGCAAAATCCCATTGGGAATTACTACATTTCCCAGTTCATTGAAGACTTTCGGTGTACCTCAGTTTTTGTGGCTGATTGAACTTCATCTGAAAAAGTGTTTTGTCCAGATTACAATCGAGTTGCTCACTCTGCCAATTATTATTTCCACTATTCTTTAATTTGGATGATGACAACCCATGTTCAATGTTTCAACTTAACTCTAAAGCCAGACTCGGCTTCCCACGGTGGAACCAGCAGTCATACGATGGTAATCAAGGCTTACTGATATTTCGCTATGTACCAATCTACATTAATTATGCCTTCCTACATTAACATATATCTTTATGAGGAAGCACTCGCATTGCCTGATCTTATATTGTTCGCAGAGTTCTATCTTAGCTCCAAAGTACCCGCTCGTCTAGATTGCCCCACTACTAGACATCCATCCAGTCATGAATATTCGAATGCCTAATGCGGTGCCTTCCACCCATGTCAGCCCACTGCTTTGAAATAGTGTTAGTATCCCTGTCTGAGGCATCAGTGTTGAGAGTCACAGTAAGGGGGGAAAACCTCCATGCTCATTAGCTCGGGTGAATCTTCAGGAGTAGGGGAAGCTACAGGGAAGGGTGGGGTAATCATGCTCATGAGAGTTCTCTACCTGTGGGGGAGGCTTGGGAAAGGGTATAGTGCGTTCTGGGTGGAAGAGGTTAGTAACAGCACCGGCGAGCTTCTCGATTTCAGCGGCAGTAGGCGACTGATATTCCGGTTCCGGCTCCTTGGGCTTAGGAATAACCGTAGGGTTGAGGACAGTGCTAGTGCTCGCGCTGTTTGCCCTAGACGTGACTATGCTCTCAGTTAACTTTCGAACGGGGCCAGGGATAGGAGCCTCACGTTGCGATACTCGACCATCGTGGTAGTGGCGGATCGAACGGCGCTCGCCGCCAACTGAACGTTCCGTGGTAAAACCGTTGTTGGGTGACCCAGTAGCAGCCTTTCCAGATCGGAGAGCTTTCCTACGATCAGCCATGTTGGCGGTGGGTATAACTATGTATCTGCTGCAAAATGGTTAGTTTGTATGTCCCGGATGGACAGGAGAAATCGGATGGACATCTGGGATATTTCTAAAAGGCAACAGAAATGGAGACCATTATATAGTTGGGCAGATGGTGTGTTTAAATGAGTGAGAACAAAGTCTTTACCCTTTGTTTGTTGTAGTGCCTTTCTTTCAAGTCTTTGAACTGGGTTTCTTGTTTGGAATATTGATATATGGAGGCAATAACAAAGTACCGGATTTCTTTTACTCTTTACATCTCAAAATAAAAGGAGATACGACAAAATTCATTGTTGCTAATCAACAAAGAAAGCGTACCTTTCGTCTGGCTGCTTAAATGCCTATCTATACAAACCACGGCAATGTTAGTAAAAATCGGCAAAATCTCTATCTCTAGTGGTCAGCCATCTCCAAGTCCTAGTACCACTACTACGGGATCAAAACATGTCTTCTGCACGAACCATATTTCTCCGCAACGGCTTTCCTACCGTTGATGAGTATGGCTTGTTCCGAGGCACGCTGTGGTTTACTGTCAGTTTTTCGAACAAGGACCACCAATTTTCTGACCAGGAATTGATGAACCTTGCAACTCATCGCCTCCGAATCGGAGAGTTCACAGTCGACTCCGGGCCCGTACACCAAGGCAGGGAGTTTTGCATATCATTTCCGGTCTCTATTTACGGCGCTAGCCGCAGCGAGTGCCTTGCTATCGTTATAAGGCTTGTGAAATGCTATCGGGAGGATATCATGTCTGGGGATATTTCTATTGACCGGGACTTTCTTTTCAGGGATAGGGCTGTTATCAGATAAAGGCATTCCTGGCAATAAAACATCTGCTTCAGTGGCATTCTCAGACCTGAAAAGCTCTCAAATGAAGCCAATCAAAATCATGTATCGGTATATGCCTCACCATAAGAGGGCGGGGGGCTTGGGCAGGACGGGCGGCAACGGCGTGGGTGAAGCGAATGATGAGGAAAGGGCCGAACTCCACCTCCCGTAGAAGGTGCAGTCGTTGACACTACAAGGGTCTGTGAAAGATCATGAATACAGTTTTGATAACGCTATGTAACGAAAAATGAGGCTTTCAGCATAGCACCAAAAAGTGACATCTCAAATATATGAGTGAGGGGACAGCGGCGAATCTTCTAATTAGTTGTCTCAGCTATGCTTGTTTGCTCTGTTTACATCTTTCCTTTTTCTTTGCGGTAAATAATGGCAGAACGTGGTGATCTCCAGAACCCTGAGGTCTCTTGATAGAGCTTCGTAACCTGAACTGAGTTGAATAGGAAGTCAAACAAACCCTTGCATCCTTAACTGATAATATGTTTTAAGGTTTTTGTTTTATAAGAGTTTTTTACACTGTTTGAAAGTCGACAATACCAGAAACAAGATCACTGGCTGCGATTATATATGGTTGACAGAAAGCTGGTGTACATGGTATAGATGACCAATGTTGACAACTCTTAACTAAACCCGTTATTTCAACAACCAGCGCTTTTATTCAATTTCATTACTCGCCGATAGCAATTGATAAGCATTTCTAGTATCATATATCACTTTTAGATAACTTGAAAACTTGCATTATTATGGTATCGAAAAATACATCGCTAAACTCCAGAAATATATATATCTCAGTCACTAATTTATTAAGCTCCCCTAAGCTCTAATAAGTAGCTAGATATCATATAAAAAGCATTAGGCTATAAGGAAAAGCTCATATAAACAACCGTTGTTGAAATATCGTGTTGTAATCTATCGCTTTTACTATGTGTTTACGGGTGCGCCACTTGGGGGTATACACTTGGGGGTGAAGTACGTTAGTTACAGTTGTCAACATTGGTCATCTATATCATACATTGTTCGTATACCAACTTTCTGTCATAAGCTCTAACGGGTGGACGACAGGGAAAATCGGCTTTGCAACTTTAAACTTATTTATTCCATCGACGAATAGTCGTACACAAGGTGTGATCCAGGAAAACCGCCAGTCAATTAGTCCTGAAAGAATGATTGTAGCTCGGAATTAACTTCATTTGCCGCTTCCAACATGATCCAGTGACCGGTTTGAAGTTGTTTGACTGTCAAATCTAGGGCAGAGTGTCGTATATTTTCCAACTGAATAGATGGTAAGCTGATGGCGTCATTCTCGGCCAGTAAAAGGAGCACCGGTCGTTCCAACTTGTATGTCTCGCGAGATTCCTCTGCAAAGTCCGAGTTCAGTATGGATTCAGCGACGGATAAGAAAGAAAGGGCGAGAACTGGCGTAGTAACTGACCTGGTTCATCTTGTAGGTTAGAATTAGATACAAGACTACGGTACCAGTTTAATGGAGCCTCATATCCACTATCCTTCGCGAAGGCTTCGTCACGGACGACGCGATATGCGTCGGAGATCCAGTGCCCCAGTTCTGCTTTTTGATCTTTTTCCAACCATCGTTTCAGTGCATCTACAGGAGCGAGATGCTCTTTCCACAAAGCCGGGTCCTTGGCGTACATTAAGGACGTCAGCGAGTCTTTCTGTAATAGCATTAGTTTGGTTTCCAAATGCATGGTTAGGACAGGAATAGTTAGTCATACATGGTTGTTTGTCAATTCGACTGCCTTCGGGTCATGCGTGAAGAACTTCATATACCCGAATAAGGAATACCCCAGGCTCTCTTGGGTTATGGCATTGAGGGCATCCAAATTGAAGGGAGCCCCGACGGCGAAATATCCGGTAGCTAGAAGAGCGATCTTGCCGAACCGTCGTGGAAAGAAAAACTCTAGTCGCGAAAGAAGCCCAGTGCCCCAGTCATGCCCGACTCCATGAGCAACATCAATACCCTCATGGTCAAGAATATCGACTATATCTTGGCTCATGTGCTTGAGACGATAAAGCGATGGATCCAAAGGACGTGATGTTTGCCCGTAGCCAAGAAGGTCTGGTGCAATGACACCGTAGCCTAAATTCCCAAAATGTTCAATCTGACAATGCCATTCTTGGGCAATGGATGGAAATCCATGCAAGAATAGAATGTATGGTTTCGGAGACTCCACACTAGGCTTAAGGTGGATGTAGCTGTAGGTCAACCCACGCGAAACTTTGAAACTGGTAACTCCCATGATGCGTTCTCGAGATATGTCAACAGCCCAAGTACAGGAATTTATGGATGTTGAAGCCAGCTTCAGTAACTAGGACGCTAGAGGACTGATATAAATTTTTCTTTCGGCGGATGCTGCCTCGTCTTAGAGCGCCATAAGCATCCGAAGGATGCCAAGTTGGGTGAACCGGGCGTATCCGATTGGTGAAATTTGTGAGCTCAAGGCGAGCACCCAACTGAGCTAGGTCTTATATAATGCCAAGCCAGGGCACCCGCACTAAATCCGGCTACGGTGCCCTACTTCAGCTCACATACTTAATATAGGTTACCGTGGCCCTGTTACGGATCTATCCGTCACCAATCGGTGGTGACCCACCAGGAACACCGATGGGCCACCAAGAGCCAACCAGCAGATCTGTCATCAGATCACGTGCAACACCCTATACGAAAAAGAGAAACCACGATCATACTCAGTAAGTAAGAGTATGATCCGCCCTAATCGGATCTACCCGCTAGAGGTTTTCTGTTACGTATAAGACTATCTATACTAGATAAAGTCTACTATATATATATCGTTTTAGGAACTATAAGACACGTGATTATATAGGTAGCAGAAGGATTAGTAGTAGATCTATAGAATCCGCTAAGGCGATTCTACTATTCTACTATCTACCGTTCTACTTAGGAAGAACTTAGGGATATATAAGGACGCTTGCTTATATATCTAGCTTAGTTCTTCGTCTTTAATTATATATTATTACTTATTGACAGAAAGCTGGTGTACGAACAATGTATGGTATAGATGACCAATATTGAAGACTGTAACTAAAATGACAAAACCCGCTATTTCAACAATCTGTGCGGTAATTATGAATAAACGTAATATATGGTATGCCTAGTGCTCGAAGTCATATGACGCTTATGGTATAATACCTAGTTTCTACCATGTATTCGGACTTGGTATTCGACAATTGTGGCTAGTGGAAACCAATTGTCTGATCAGCTAAAATTATATATATATATACATCAGATAGTCTACTCAAAATCTCAACTTATTTAAGGGGCTACGCGAGAATATTACCCTTTTCTAAAAGAAAATATGACACGTGGAAATTTATTCTTGGCTGTAAACATGAAGATGGTGAAGCAATGTATGTATATCTGGTTGGAAAGAAACGGCAAAGATCATCTTCGCATATGCAAATGCTCAATATCTCTTATAATCTACTGAGAGCCAACGAGCCTCGCAGTATCTCTAAGGGTAACGTGGAACTCTTTGATCTGATTGGCAGGCGTCTCAATAACATATCGCCAGAGGGTCCATATATCCTGAGAACCAGAGACACAATCCGGGCCCTCTTGCTCGATCTCAAACTCCCTAGCCTTCTTGTCAGATGGAGACCCAAAGAACTGGACCAAAGCAAGACCAACCGGCGCAGGAGGGATCTCAGAAGAAAATTGAGTATATCCGAATGTCTTCACTTGCGCCTGGACTTTCTTCGACTGGGGTCGCCATTTCTCGAATGCCGCAGTCCATTCCCAATCGACACCTGAATCTGCGAGTGTAGCGCACATGGTCCAGAGAAAGTGAGAGACATCAATCCAACCATCATACGTACCCGTCGCGCTTAGAGACCTATATTCTTCACGGCGGACCGTGAAACGAAATAAGCGGCGGGTTTCATGTTGCGATCCCAGTGCAATTGACAGTGGTACAAAGTCAAACGGATCGCAAGCAGTCTCTGAGCTGGAGTCGAAAGCAGTATCTGAAGAGTCCTCGTCATCCGCGTCCCAGGTTTCGTCGGTGTCCGTGGGGATATCCAGAACCTGGTATTTAGATGGGCTCGGCATGATTGAATGTGGCAATCGATCATGTAGATTGGGTAGAGGAATTGAAATACACTCGTTAGGGGCTAGTGTGTAGTCAGTGTAGGGTAGGTATATGGCTTATATAGTTGAAGGCCCAGTCAAACTATTATATCTGATATCTGAATTCAAAGACACCCTTTGTTCTCTTTTGACGTTTGTTTCTATTCAAAGACGGCCCCGAGAGACTAAAATACAATGTACTTCATAAAGCGGGGGCACTTCTTTGTTCATCGCCAGTCAATCACTTTGTCTCCAAGATGGAATCAAAGAGACATGGCAGAAACCCGAGAGAACAAAGAAGGATCTTCTTCCAAGCCTGGAGTATCCGTAGATGAGATTGCAAGTTGAGCATCCATGGATCTTTTCACTGGCAGCGACGGGAGCGCGACGGAGGTGTTTAACGATACACAATCCCATCCCACTAAACGACCCCTCGCCTTCGTCGGCCCGCTTTCCAAGCTTCCCACCGGCACGGTCCTTCTCCTTCCTTCTATTCTCCAGATAAAAACGACCTCCCTCATACAGACTGAGATATAAGCCCAATGCAATCGCAGTCCAACCAGCCCGTATCAGCCCGCCCTTGAACAACCCACGTATGCCCTCATAACGTATGATATCACGACCGACAGAAATGAGAGATGTATTAGGTTTGGCTTTCGTTCGCGCCTCCGAAGATACCGCTGCACTGCCACGAGTACCAGCCTGAGTATTTTGATCTTGGGATCTAGCGCCAGTATCACTTGCGGAAAGCATAACGCGGGTCTTTATCACGTCTATTGGAGTAGTCACTGTCGCTGCGACTGTCCCCGAAAATGCAGCAGCTATCCCCGTCAAGCCGGCCCGTTCGACTAGTTGATCTGACTGCGCGGATGGAGGCCGGCTAGTATTGCTCCGAGCTGCTTTCCGTTGTCTTCGACGGTCAATTAGATGTGATCGCACATACTCAAAGATCGGAAATTGTAAAGCTGTAGTTGGAAGGTTTCGACCAACTAGTGCCGTATACCCACTCCATAGGCGCCAAGGATGACGTCGAAATCGCAAAAGTACTTGTCCCATAGCGGATTTGTTTGTTTGGGAACCTTGAATCATCTGCGCATTTTGTTTTAATACCTCTGCCGGCGTGAGCATGAGGCATGATACCATCTCCCCGGTTGAAGATGCAATTCCGTGCATAATGGGGGTAGGGAGGGCGTGTGTGAAAGGCAAGCGAAGATTGTTCAGAGAGCCATCAGGGAAGGTCCTTTTGCCACTGGTAATGTTCCTGGAGGAGTGTGTTGAGGAATTGTACATCAGGCTCTTTACAGCTTCGTATGTGGTAAAAAATGCACCAGCTAGATTAAGTAGGTAAGATAGTCAACTGTAATGTCCCCCGTTCATCAACAAGAGTCAACACATACAAGCTGGAATTGTTGAGAAAACTACACTCCAGACGCCTTGGTATAATCCTCGGAAGAGCACATTGCGACGTACTCCTCCTATGCGCGCATCTTTGTAGACCTTCTCATAGTCTAGGGATTGAACACGGGTCTTGAGTGTGTCGAAAGGGTAGACGACAAAATCGACTACGACTGCGGCAAATGCACCTGCCTATTGAGAGATATATCCTAGTTAGTGATTGAAATTCGAAGTATGTATCTTCTGTCAAATGTAGGAAGCCAGTTGAACTGGAGATTAGTTGATCGGGTACGACTCACAACCCAAATATCAGAATGAGTGTTGTACATGGAGAAAATGCAGAACAAAAAAGCTCTAATTTCTATAATAGAGACATTGTAAATATTTAATATTGAAAAGGGAGAATGCCATTCAAGATTCCGACCTGAGGATTCCCTCGCTGATCGATATCGTTGTGATGATAGATGGACGTCATCTCCACACTAGTCACGTGCCTCTAGGGACTTGCACGTGAAAATAGCCATGTAACAACACCACCTAAGTCAACTTTATATTGACCTGGACATAGTTAGAATTGTCGAAGACTTTGTGACTCAGGGATATGATATTTATATTCTATTTTTAGCCCCTAACAACTAAGGAACCTTGAGGTACGATCATCACATCGCGACACAGGGATAATATACACGACCTCCACATTTTCCTCTAGAGCCAGCCCTTAGGTCCACCCCAGTTACCCTTGATCATGTAGTTGAAGTACACCCAAGGGAAGAAGTCCTTCTTCAGGTACCAGAACGAACGACGGGGCTCAGCCTGGTCAATACCAAACCAGTCCCCAAACGTCTCCTTGGGCACACCGCCATACTTGAACTCAGCAAGAAGGACCTTGCCATATTCGGTCAAGAGCGGGCATGAGGTGTATCCATCGTAGGAAGCATCCAGTTCCTTGCCCTCCATGCTCTGCAGAAGGTTGCGAACGAGAACCGGTGCTTCGGAAGTGACGGCAGCGGCAGTCTTGGATGTTGGCAAGCTGGAAGCATCACCGGCAGACCAGACGTTGGGGAACTTTTTGTGTTGGGTGCTGTTGTCGTCAACATCGACGAATCCAGCCTCGTTGGCCAGAGGGCTGTTCTTGACGAAACCATAAGCACCCATCTTGGGGGAGACGTGCAACAGATCGAATGGTCTGACGACCTCTCCCTCAGGAGTGGCAAAAATGGCAGCTTTGCCATCAATGGCAAGGAGATCGTGCTGGAACAATCCTTCAACACCGCGATCCTTGCGCATCTGCTCAAGCACGGCGCTGTACTTGGGTACACCAAACATCACTGGGAGACCGGTCGCAAAGCTAATCTTGACGGGAGACTCAGAGGGGCTGGTGGGGTTGTAGAGGCCGGCTCGTTTCCAGTGGTCCAACGCAAGCCACATGATCTTCTGCGGAGCGCCCGCACACTTGACCACACCGGCTGGCTGAGTGAAAATGGCACTTCCTTCACGGAAGTTTTCGATGGTGCGGAAAGCCTTATCGCAGGTGTCGTAGCTATAGATTGTCGAAACGGTTGAGTTTCGGTCTGCGAGAGCCTCAGGGAGACCCTTGATATTGCCATAGTTGATGCTAATGCCGGGCACCACAACCAGATGCTCGTAGTTGATCTTGTCGCCATTCTCAAGAGTGAGCGCATTCTCAGCGGGGGCGAAGGCGCCAACACCCTCGTTATAAAACTTGAACTTGGGATCAATCAAGCTGTTCAATGGCTTGCGCAGCTCCTGTTTGTCCTTGAGGCCACCGCCAACCAGTGTCCAGCCGGGTTGGTAGTTGTGCCACGCAGCGGGATCAATCACAGCAATGTCATCTTGCGCAAATTTGCCAGAGTGCAGGAGCTGGTGGCTGATGGAGAGACCAGCAGTACCACCGCCGACCACTACAATTTTGTGGCTTCGGGCGGAGCTCACGGGAGACACGGTCGCAAGACTCCTCCATTGAGCGACGGAGCGCTTGGCAGCAACTACTGTGCGACGCTGAAACATCTTTGTATATACAAGGCAAAAAAAAGTGATCAAAGAGCCTTGAAGTACCTAAAATAGCTTCAGGGCTGGAACTTACGATGTCGTGATTTCGGATTAACTCGTTCCGATATCGGCGAGTCTCGGCCTTCCTTCGCCGAGCACTTTTCGGGCTTCTCTCAGACGAAAAACAGTATAACATTTACAAATGTTTGGATGTTTCATGTTTTCTCTCCGATATGTTTCACTTGGACTTTAAAAGTATCCATCTCCATTTAGGGTCTGATAGTGGTTGTGCATGTGGATTCGATTTAGATGTGTGACCTTGGTTCACCTTCACATAAGGGGCTAACGCCTTAGGGACAGTATCTAACAATATACCTGGCTAAATCATCATACTATGTTCCTGAATTTGACAGTTTGTGGCAAAAAATCCCAACATACCCATTGGATGGTGTCGTAATGACTTTTATTTTTCAATCGGCGACCTCCCCGGCTTCCTCCAGGGCTGGATGCTCACCGAGTCGCCGACCCAAGACTTTCAAGTATAACCACAGCGACAGCTCTTACACTCAGCACCAATTGTTGTTCCTCAAATCCCAAACATCATGATCAGCATTCGGCAGCAGTCCTCAAGCATCGGCTGGCAATGGTCCTCAGATCTTTTGAAATTGTCTACACCTATTCGAAGTTCAATGCAGGCCGACTTTAGACAATTGCGTCATATCCAACGAGCGACACGAGCAGGTGTATCTCATACGCCAAAACCTTCCAGAAATGGCGTGTCGATGAAGGGGACAGGTCGTCGATCACAAAAAGGACAACCGGCTCATAGCTGGAACCAACCATTCTCGCCACGTTCATGTTCCATCCCTACCAACCATCTAATCTCACGGAGAGTCACATACAGCACTGCATCCACTATATCTACGGAGCCTGTAATTCACGATATCTTCGAACCCACATCTGGAACATGGCAGTATCTCATCGCCGATCCGTCGACATCAACAGCTGTCATCATCGACCCAGTTTTGAACTATGATCCTGCCACTCAGGCCGTGACCACTCAGACAGCCGACTCCTTGCTCTCTCTTATCAAGGGCAAGGGCTATAAGATCGACAAGATTCTCGAAACACACGCTCACGCAGACCATTTGTCTGCAGCATCTTATCTCCAAAAGCATCTTACCCAGCATCAAGATCATAAACCGCCCATCTGCATTGGCAAACGCATTGAACAAGTGCAAACATTGTTCGCCGAAAGATATGGTGTCCCACGAGAGGAATATAAAGCCATTTTCGACAGGCTTTTCGAAGACGATGAGACATTTACTATTGGGAACCTTAAAGGAAAGGCTATTCATCTACCTGGACACACCCCGGATCATCTTGGTTACATGATCGGAGGTAATTATCTACCATCAATAATCAACTTGTTGCACAGCTACTCACAAATTCTTTTCCAGATAATCTATTCTGCGGCGATTCTCTTTTCCATGTGGATATCGGCACTGCTCGCTGTGACTTCCCCGGTGGCGATGCCAATGACCTCTTTCGATCGGGCCGCAAGCTTCTGAGCCTCCCTGGCCACTTCAAGGTCTGGACAGGTCATGATTATCCGCCGGAGGGACGTGACCCCGTTCCCTGGGTGAGCGTTCATGATCACAAGAAGCTGAATAAACATTTGAAAGATGGTATCAGCGAAGAGGAGTTTGTGACTTTGCGAAAGGAACGTGATGCAGGATTAGCGGCACCCAAGCTGCTTCATCAATCTTTGCAGGTCAATATTCGAGCAGGTCACCTTCCTTCGCCGACGAAATTTGGTCATCGGTTGCTTCACCTTCCATTGAAACTCACAGGGGAGGCATGGTGACCGGTATATACGATTGTCAAAAGCGACAGGATATATATTCATCAGCTTGTGGCTGATCAGAGACTATAAGAGGTGCATTTACCAGGTCGCAAGCACTTTTATTGTTCAACTACATGTATTTCTATATTACCCACATACTCAAGCGACATCAAATCAAGGAAAATCTTGTCATTCTCATAAATTTCTATAGCTTTCTCATCTACGACGGACTACCACAGGTCGTGCAGAGTATTACTCCCTGTGGCAATGGATATCCCAATGCCTCGCGACGTTCTACATAGTTACGAAAGCCAATGTCTCTTTGCTTTGTCTAGTCCCTTCTTCCCCTCGTTTTGAAATTACAATGGCCTTCGTGTTTGGATTGATTCGTGGACCAAAGTGGCAAGATCTAGACAAAGGGATCTTTTATACTCCTATTGTTCTCATCTTCCAAGCTATGCTTCATCGAGTATTTGAACTCGACTACTCGAACTACATAAATAGTTTCAATCCCACCGCAATATACTCCCAACAAGCAACTGTCTATCCAGCACAGTCCTCATAGTCCTCACACATCCCACAGATCAGTACTAACCTTCTATTACTTCCATCACCCGCCTCACACCTTCATCATGGCTATCACTGCCCCCGACAGCATTTACCGCAAGGAGCGCAGCTACTACCTTGACCTTCTCGAGTCCCAGATCGTGCAGCTCCGCACCGACCCCGGTCGTCGCCTTCACGTAGTCGAGCAGCTTAGAGAGCTTTCTCAGTTGACACCTGGCTCCATTGAGGCTTCTCTTGTCGTCGGTGACACTCTCTTCCATCAAATTTGCTGCGATCTGGAGCCTCTGTTCCTCGCCGGCGTTGTCTCTCTTTTGGGAGACACCGATCCAGTCACTGAATATCAAGTCGCTGATATACTTGAGGCTGCAGTTCCCGCTGAGGTTCAAGACCCCTTCAACCACCCTGCTACATGGTAGTCGATGATTGCATGCAGATGCATTCACAGCCATCAGGTTCCATATATATCCGAGTTCATAGATCAATCTGACCTTACATTTTGTCGTAGATCACTTCGTTCCATCCGTAATTATCCTATTGTTAAAATTAGGGGGGAAAAAAAGGTACAACAGTACAAGGGAATTTGACCTGTTCAATGTGTTTGTTATATTCTAAACAAAATAAAGATTCCCTTCTATGATCGAATACAAGTCGATACAACGCAGGAGTCTAATGCCCAGAGACTCAGCTCCGCTCATAGAAGAAAAAAGAAACAGGAAGTCATATTAACATCCAAAATAGAGAACATTTTCCCTCCCTACGCCGTAAAAAGGTCATGCAATACCAGAAGCGTCGTGTCTCCCCTTCGCAATCATCAACGTTTAGTTCGAGGTCTCGTTGGGCAGCAGGTTGCCCTTGATGGCAAACATCTTGCCCGTGCTGGACGAGACGAAGCTGTCGACCTGGCGCGCGTACTGGTCCACCTGGCGAGTGTTGAGCATGCTCTCCAGACGGCTGGGTTCGGCGGGAAGCTTGAACAGACGCTGCCACTCGTCCTCGGGGAGGAGGGGCTGGTTGAGAGTGGCACGGCTGGCGTTCTCTTGTGCGCGCTTGGCCTTCCAGGCGTTGATCTTCTGCTGCTCGCGGCCGAGCACACGCTGGTAGTATTGGTAGTTGTTCACCTCGGTGTTGTGGGTCTCGATGCTGTCCAGAAGGAGATCGCAGTTCTTCTCCAGGAAGGGATCAATGCTGAGAGACAGGTTGTCGAGGTTGGGGGTGAGGGTGGAGGTTTTGCTGAAGGGGCTGGACTCAAGAGCAGCCAGGGAGGAGGGGAGCTCAGTGGATGCTGAGGAGGTCGGGCACTGCAGCTGGTGGATGAAAGAGGTGATCAGGTGGGAGTTGTGGAGCTTGACGGGCAGTTCCTCGAAGATGTCGGGGTGGCGCATGTTGGACTTTTGGAGGCTGAAATTATTGTCAGTATTCATGTGGCTCATATAAACTTTTTTTTTAATCGTCGTCATGGCACGTACTCCTCGGAAGTGAACTTGTTCTCCTTGAAGGCAGTCATGAACTTGGAGGACAGGCGGAAAGCACGGAGGCTAAGGCTGCCCTGAGCACTGCGGCTAACATCGTGAACAAGGGCGACTGTGCGCTCGTTCAACTGGCTCTGGTAGTAAAATTGGTTCTCGATCACGTTCATGTTGACGAAGTTGCCCATGTTGGCGCTGGTGTACCATCCGACGCTGTTGGCATCAGTGTTGACCTCGCGCAGCATGCGAATCATCTCTGCGGAGTACGCAGCGTTTGCCTTAGCGCGAGGAGCGGCAGCGGCCGGGTTGGGAGCGGCGTTGTCAAAGTGCGACTCGGCGGGGACTTCGACGACGGGGAAAGGGAAAGTGTTGGTGATCTCGAGGGTGCCATCGACATCCATGCCGACGATCGCGCCGGTGGCAGTGGAGGGGAAGGTCTGTGAGCAGTGCTTGATGATTTTCATCACAACCTGGAACGTCCGACGTCAGTATTTCTGGCTGGCGAGGACTGAGGGAGATTTTCGTCGGGGAGACCATACCAAGGCCTCGACCTGAACGGCCGCGAGGGGAGCTGGAATTCTGCAACTCGGTCAGCATCATGTTGTCACAGATCAAAAAAGGCCATCACTTACTCGGCCATTGTGAAGGATTGCAACAGTTGGGCGGTTGTTAAGGTCGAGACGGTGGACTTGGAGGGTTTGTGTGAAAGGGACCATTCATTCCTGATCGGGCTTAGCGTGTTACCGATACACAACGAAATTGGTTACTGTATTTCACTACGTAGATGGAGGGGCAATACTGTCATATTACACTCCGACGGACTCATCGGAGAATTCTCATTCGATCAAAGACTCTTCGTGCTATGTTATAGTATAAAGCAAGACCAGATACGGGAAAAAAAACCGGCCAAATACCCAGGAGAAATCGGGACACCGGAAGAGGCAAAGTCGGAGTGTATCTACAATATGTCAGTCCAATGATAACAGCTTTTGCACAATGCTCCTCCCAATGTGGCCGTAATCTATCGACATGTCCCACTTCCCCATAAATCAAGCAACTCCGCAAGGCACCATGTCGGTTCACTCAAATACTGAGACTGTAGTTTATGGACAAGTCCATAATCTACAAAGCATCGCTGTGACAACCTTAGCTCCACGCAAAGATGGATACTGGGTGATGTACGCGAGTCCCAACACAATGCTACCCCAAAGCAATGACTAACGTCTGATGTCTGTATCTAGCTACATCCACGGCGGTGCCTGGCGGGATCCGGCGGTTACATCAGCGTCCTTCGATGCCACGGAATCCATACTTCGCAAGAAAGGCCTACCTATTGCCGGCTTCGCCTCGATCTCATACCGTCTCAGCGCTCACCCAAATCACCCACAAGATCCAAGCACTACCGACCCGAAGGACTTCCAAGATGCGAAACACCCTGAACATATCGCCGACGTGGAGGTAGCACTCGCATTGCTCCAGAATAAATACGGGTTCGGTGCGCGTTACATCCTGGTTGGCCACAGTTGCGGCGCAACGCTGGCCTTCCAAGCTGTGATGGGCGCGGTCTCGGGTCATCGTGAACAGACTACATTGACAGCGCAGCCCACTGCCATTGTCGGTGTGGCGGGGATCTACGATCTGCGACGGCTGCGGGATACCCATGTTGACATCTCGGCTTACCAGGAATTTATTGAGGGGGCTTTTGGGGCGGATGAGATGCTCTGGGACGGGGTATCGCCGGCCCAGGTGACTGGCACTCGTGGAGTAGAAGGCGGGTGGAAGTCTGGAAGATTGGCTGTCCTGGCGTATTCCAAGGACGATGGGTTGGTAGACGGGTCTCAAGTAGAGGTCATGAAGGAGGCTTTGGGCAACTGGGAGAAGACAGAGGCACAGATATCCACGCAAGAGGATTCAACCCGTGATAGACGGCTCCGTATCTTGTCGATCGGCGGTGTTCATGATGAGGCATGGGAGAATGGCGAGCAACTGGCTCGTGCGGTAACGTTTACATTCGAACAATTGCAGGAAATGAAGCTGGCCCCGTAGTTCTGATTCTGCGAAGGACATACTTGTTGTGTATTCAAAGTGACGGTTTCAAATAAAGTACCCGGCATAACATATGAGTTCATGTTCAGTAGTGAGTTTATCATCTCTCACTATCCCGGCTATACAAGCTTAGCAACGATCTCCGATGTGAGAAATTGGATAAGTTATGTGGTTTCAATTGAGTCCTCATTTCCCTAGGGATGGACTAGACTGGTAATTTACGTACAAACGAAGTCGGAGAAAGAAAAAACCCATCGCAAATGTCCATGCGACCCAGACAACGCCGAAACATCTGAAGAAAAGCACAAGCATACCACGTATCCCTCATTGCGCCGAAATGCTGCCCATGGAAGATTCGTAATGGAATGTCTGTCAAGATTACTTGGCGACGTTCATGCGAGCCGAAGCTGCGTCACCGAGGAGCTTGTCGTTCTTAGCTGGCTCCGCGGGACCCTCGGCGTAGTCCTCATCGTATTCAAACGCGTCATCGTCACTCTCGCTGTCTTCGATGAAGCGGTGAGTGATGTCGGCTTCAGCGAGGCGCCACTTGAGATCCTCACGCTGATTGTCCTGGTAACGGGCAAGGGCAGCTGCGGAGTGCACCTTGAAACCGAAGATACGGGGTTCATAGCGACGGCTGCTCTTCTCAGGGTTCAACGCTGGGTAGACCTGGAAAAGAATCGAGTGGAATGAAGTACCGAAGTATGCTCCATCGATGGATGAGTGACGGGAGGATTTGGGGTTGTAAATATCTTCGCACTTGGGGCAGTACAACTTGACGGTGCTGACATTCGGAAGATCGGACTCGCCCAAAGGAAGTAACGCATGTCCATCGCACATCACACGTGGGCACTTCCCAAAGTCGCTCTTCTTGTACTTCTCGAGCTGCAGGAATGATTAGTCCTATTGTCTCAGAGAATAATATCCACACAAGTTTAGGGTTTCAACATACCATTTTGGCAAGACCACGAGTGGTAACGATATACCGGGCGTGAACCAATCCATAGAGATGACGGGCAGACTTTTCGATTTGCTCACGCAGATCATCGTCGGCGTCAAGATCGAAAACATCGGTGACAAGATCAAGGGCGTATTGGTAGTAAGAAACCTCGGTGTTCAACCCAGTGAGGTTAAAGCGGTCCGTCAGGTAGTCCTCGTCAATTTCGCAGAAGTATTCATTGCCGCGAGAAGAGACGAACTGGGAACACATGGTTGTCATTAGCACGATCGTAATCAAGAGTGCGTCACGGTATCGACCAGAACTGGGAGGGTAGGTAGTAGCAGAATAACGAGAGGACGTTGAGGACCCGCCACCCCCAGTGCCACGGCGTGAAAGTTGCGAAGAATGACCATTGGATTGCCGTCCGCGCTCCTCGGCGCTAGAATCCGGCCCAGGGTGCCCGTTGGGGTCATCACGGTCATTGGGACCATTGCGATCATGAACAAGGAGATCCAGGCGTAGCTGGACGTAAAGGGGGAGCATGCGCACAAAGTACATGAGACACATAATGGCAGTACAGATACATAGGAAGCAAGTCTCCATATCGTCATTGCGTGAGAAATCAGCGGCGCGTTGAAACAATGCACCTGCTGATGCGGCCAAGAACACTAGCCAGTACCAGAGAACCCAACGGGTCACATCGGGCTCCATGATGAAACAGAGGATCAAGCAACGCAATGATAGGAGTAGGAGATGATGAAAGTGCGAGGATAGATTTGAAAGGATCGAAGAGGATCGCAGGATCGTGTCGAGTATTAATGTCGGGGGACATGGTCCCGCGCGGGAGACATGGTTTCGCGCAGGAGACATGGTTTCGCGTGTTGCAGATCGTTAGGACAACAGGCACAATGTAGACTGCGATACTCGGTAACACCAAGACTTTGCCAATATCGTCACAGCAACATGCCTAACACTTTGGCAGTCCGGATTCACTCTCCCGCGGGACAGGCGCGCGACAGGCGCTCCTCATTCTCTATTCCATACGCACAGTGGCCCTGGGGATAACGCCTCGCGCGTAGGGAAATTCAATCAAGAAAAAAGAAATTCACTTACCCAGTCTCGCCAGTAGCTGGTATAATCGCTGTCCGTTTCGCTATTGAAGTCCTCCATGATGGGATGGAAGCCAGGTGGATGATGAAGGTGTGCTAAAGGACTTAAACCTGCACAGCTGGATGCAGTAGTTTGTATTCACTGATGAGCTCAAGAGCGACAAGAGGTTTTATCAAGGGATTGGCGTAGGTTATGTTTGGGGTTGGAAGTGGGTAGTGGGCAAGATATCCCGCAATTCGTTATCGATGCTTCGCCTACCGGGGCGGTCAACTTACTGCTCAATATTCAGACCGCCTTTAGCAATTGATCTACCCGTGCGCACATCGTACTATCTAAGGTAGTATGGTGCAGCTTAATATGGGTATTCCTTTGCTAAGCGCAGCGAAGAGAATGATCAGCATCTATCTAGATCACCCAATAATATCGGGTAAATTTTCTACGTAAGTTAAAACTCAAGTCTAATTCTCCACAAGCCCTCTTCTTCGACTGAGATTATCCAGTGGAAGGAGAAGCTTCCTTTCTTGATTAAGAAGACCCGGTTTCCCTAATGGAAAGACATCGCTTCACTATTTCTAATCGGGTCTTGTCAACCACGAAATTCGATGAGGCTGAATGCAATATCAAGCATTTGATTGCAGTAGGCTAGGCCTAAGTCGCCCACGGCGATAGTGGCCTATTCCATGAGCACAATTAAAACGGCCATCAACACCAGCACCGCTAGCTGGGATCGGGAGAGTATGTAGGATTCTGGAATCAATGTAGACGAAATATGGGCAAGTGTGGTCTATGTCAATCGTGATCCGAATCTTATCCCTCGGGTACCGAGTAATCAAGATCCGATACTACAATCCAGCAGCAGGGAGATATCGAAATGCATGGTGCTGTATGAGTTTATTGAACGGATATGGAAGCTAAGACTAGCCCAGGTTAAAGAAGTAACTTAGCGACATTTATATTATTGCATTGCCGCTCAGCCCGTGAAGTCGGGATGTTGAACCCCTAAAAAAAGCTAGCGTTGCACATGGCCTCTATTTCATCGACTTCAAACACACTATATTCGGGAGATTTGACGTAGAGAAGGGAATTAGCGAACTAGGAGTTTCGATATAGACTCTAAAAAAGTAGAATATTCAAGGGATAAATTGGTGGTTGGAGATGTGCGGCAAATAGAAGTGCCATTGTGTTAATTGTCATCTAACCAAAGATATGTTTGTCTACCGATCAAAAACCTTCCCAGGGTTCCTGTAGAAAATACGAAGTCAGAAATCAGCATGAAAAGTAGAAGTAATCGAGTTTGGGGGTTCCACATAAATAATCCAGTGAGGGTCAAAAGTTGCCTTGAGAATTTTCTACTTAAAAGACATAGCAAACGTCATTTGTCCTACCGAGTGCAGATAATCGTTGAGTCTGAACACAGACAGCAAAAGAAAACATACCATAAATGAGATAGTCGCATTCCCGACCTCCTGTCGAAGAGCCTCCTTTTTACCAAACCCGATGTCATGTTCACCCGTGCAAGTCCCCTCCATATCGATCGCCCGTTGAACCATGTTTTTGACAGCCTTCTTGGCTTTCTCATACTCCTCCGGCCTTGTGCCGTCATATGTGAAGTTTTCATGGAAGTTACAATCACCAACGTGACCCTTGACACAGGCGTTTAAGCCCAAGGCCGCGGCTTCTTGCTTGCTTGTGACAATGATATCAGCCAGGTGGCTCAATGGGACTGCGACATCGGTATTCCCTAAGACCCAACGCATTTCATTAGTTCCACTCAAATCATTTCTATCCATGTTAGAACTACTGCATAACTTACACATCTCTTCGCTGTCCTTGCGGAGCGCTAGTAAAGAGTAGAGAGACTCTTTCCGCGCCGACCAGAGCAGTGTTTGCTCTCTCTCATCACAAGCGAATTCAAACACTTGCGAGCCATAGGCTTCAGTAACCTGTTTCACATTCTGAATAGCTTCTTCCAACATAAGCTTCGACCCAGAGAACTTGAAGAAAAGGGTCCACTTTTCCTGCCATACTCGCGGCCGTGTGACGCCTCCCTCACTCGCAATACGCATCTGGGTCTTATCCATGAGTTCAAGAGCGGCAACTGGAACTCCTCGGCGGATGACCTTAGTAGTGGCCAAGACAGCATCGTGAATTGTGTTGAAAGGTACGACAGCAACAGAGTAGTTCTCAGGTAGAACGGCCAGCTTCAGAGTGGCTTCAGTCACAATTCCGAGAGTTCCTTCCGAGCCGACGAAAAGGCCGTTCAGGTTGAATGCCGGCGCTGGATCCACGCGGGCGATTTCGAGTCTTGATGACAGTTCCATCGGCTAGGACGACAGTGAGATTGATGACCCAGTCGCGCATGGTACCGTAATGCACTGCGTTTGTACCTGAGCAATTTGTACTGACCATTCCTCCAATTTTGGCGCTGGGGGCTTGTGTAAGAAGTCAATAAAAGTTAGAGGGACGACACTGGGTATCGATTTGGTCATAAACCTGGATCCATTGGGAAGAAAAGTCCAGTTTCCATATTCTTTAGCTGTGCGTTCAAGTCCACCCACTGGACACTGGGTTGAACCACGACATCCATACCATCCTCATTGATGTTTATGATCTGGTTCATATAAACGAAATCCATGCTGTTGCCACCAAAGGGTGCAGCAGTGTGACCTTCGAGGCTGCTGCCTCCACTGTACGGGATAATTTAGACTTTTCTTTCATGGCAAATGCGCACAATCGCGCTGAGTTGTTCCGTGTTTCGAGGATATGCGACGGCAATGGGTAGCGTATCGACCCTGAGAGATGACCACACTGAGAACCTGTGCATTTTGAGGTCCTCATCATCAGTTGAGATTATGTCTTCGGTGTCGCGCAGTTCGTATTCGATTTGAGCTGTGGCCTATTAAATTTGACTAGTTAGTCTTGAGCTGCTGACTTGCGCATCACTGCGCGCGTGAAATTAGATATGTAGAATTGCAGAGCGGAACACACCTTTTACATGTCTTCGAGTGTCGCATATTTGGGAAGTCGCTCTGAGTCCAGAATAGCAAGGGTGCTTGGTTTGTTTGTGTCACCGGTGGAAAGTGTTGAGATGTCATAGCCTGCTAGACCAGCAACCACCGCAACACCTACTACCAATCCTTTCCCGTTAATTCATTTCTCTTGGAGCGGAGGAACCTTCGGGTCCATTTGGTGCTCTTCGCGTGAAATTGGCGTTGAACCGACGCTGTGCCGGACCACGGCAAACCGACGCAATCCGGGGGCGAAGAGTGAGCTCCGCAATTTTCCTTAGGCAGCGCATTTTCTCCGATATTCTCATTGATATTTTTGAAAGTCGTAAAGGAATAGTTCGAGTGCATTGAGTGCACCAGCGTCACTTTTATGAGCTCCCAAATAAGCTTGAAAGTAGCTCTGGGAAAATGTGGACCTGCTGAAGTGGCGCGATTCGGCTCGGGGAAAGTGTCAGCGAAACTGAAAGCGACTCATAGACCCTTTAGAGGACTCAGTCCTGATTCCAAGCGGAAATGGAGAGGCTTGGGGTATTGGGATGATTTCGCGAGTATAGCATTGTACGCGGGACTAGTTGGGCTGGATGGCTATTCTAATCGTGAGAAAATTTGCCGAGTGAACTATCTCAGCTATAATACATTCATTTATTCAATACGCTAAATATCATGAATCTTAAGTTAACAAAAGATAGTCCCCGGTCCGTTCGACAACGTCGCGCCAGCCAGAATGCATTTGTCGATTTGTTGTTGGTCCCTGCCTCCAAACTTCGTGTACAACTTGTATACCTGTCCTCACGGCTTCAATTCCGTATACTTCTACTCGCTCGTACCACAAGCGAAAGCGTTCTTGGTGTCTAGGCTCAAAAGCCTCAGTGGCACCCATGAATGCTGGCCAGAAAAGCGGAGCAGCGAGTATTTTGGTCTCCGCTTTGAGCTGTTCAATGGCTTCTATGCTATCCAGAACCGCCTGGGCATATTGGCGGAGATACTGATGGATCATCAATCTTATACTTTGCGAGAAATAGATGATGGGCGCATTGAGAAATGCCCGAGTCTGGTGGTAGATGATGGAGGCACTGATGCCATTCGTGGATCTTTCGTAACGATGAAGACGCTCATCGAGGGGCCAATCCATGATATTCTGTTCAAGATCATCACAAACTAGGTTCAGACCTTCTGAGATAGATGTGCCTTCGTTATTCATGCGATGGTGATTCACCTCGTCGATAACCTCGATGGACTCCTTTAAGAGAATCAGAAGACTCTGCGGTATACCGTATATGCACTCGTATGCCGACATCTCTAACAAGGTGCTCTCGCCTGTCATCATATCGGCTCCCATTGCAATCATAGATGAAAGTGTTTCATCGTCCTCAATGAAGAGGTGCTGCCTGGGAAACACGGGCTGCGGACCAAACGTTCTTTGTGAGCCTAGTGATGGGGAAAACCTGGACATTCCGCTTTTTGATCTCCTAACGGCAGTACTTTCGTAGATCACGCGGAGGTAAAAATAGATCCGATGGAGCGATTGAGCTTTCCGAGAGAAAGTGGCCTTCCGAGTATTCTTATGGCTAATAAGCCTTTCCGCTCCGTCCAAGTGAACACTGCACGTGCTTGTATCTCCAGACATGACCTAGAAAGCCAGAGATTAACACAACTGTGTCGAGGTAGAATTATAAAGGTATATTTTAAATTAATTGTGATCATTGAAAGCATAGTGGCAAGAAACTCCTTATACTTTGGTCTCTTGTCGGCATATAGATCGGGTTCAACCGCGTATTTCACAAGTTGGCATCATAACGATATCGCGAAGCTATTTTGCACCAATTCCTAGCTTCCTCTGAGATCTATGATCGTTGGATAAACAAAATGCGCTAATAGAAAGCAATGAATTCTTTCACGCGTCGCGAATCCGCGTTGTGGTACATCTAAAGCTCACTTCACCGGCAGATTGCAGGACACGGGGTAAGTGGATTGTCTTCCAGGGGCTTTTGTAATTGTCAATTACACAGAATAGATTGACTACTCGGTGGCTGTAGTGTCTCATGAGGAGTCGTTCTTGCGATGGAACGACCAGGCTCTCAAGTGTATTTGTCAGAGAAGATATGCTGCGTCTTGTTCGAGGGATTTCTCTCCGCCCCTGCGAAAGAACCAGCTCCTCTGACTGCAGAAGTTGTGATTGTGCAACATGGCGTGTATAAGCTGGAGAGTTCGAAGCATTGCCTGGCGGCACTGGGACAACAGCCGGGGCCAATTCTTGTTGCTGAGTAAAGTCCACGGCCAACGGTTGTCCATGAAGATTGCGAAGGCTCCATGCTGCCCCAGCTTCAGAATTATCATTTCATGGCTCCGACTCTATGGAAACCGATTCCGGATTGAAGATTAGGCCGTACCCATCCTCGGGCTCGCAGACTTCAGTTGTGCAAGGAGATGGGATGAGAGTAGACCTCCGCAAAGCCCATAAATGGGCCCGGACCCTAGGCCCACGGCCCAACCCAGGGGTAGGCTATGGGCTCAACCTTTAAAGCCCAACTTAACCCACAGCCCACCGTGGGTTGGGCCGTGGGCCCCTGTAAAAACCCATAATAGGCGCGGATAAAGCGGACTCTGTAATTGTTGTATTACGACCTTCTACCGATCGTATAAAGTTCAAATTTCAAATTAAGAATAAAGGGAATACTATAAGTACGTATATTAATTTTAAACAATATCCGATCGGTAAGGGTCGAGATATAACCGAAAAGGTAAATATTAATATATTAATATTAGATATATATTTAGGTTTTATAGGGAAGTACTACTACTTTCGGAAGTCATTTAATACCTAAATTTTGTTTACCAACCATTCTTCAAAGGAAAGAGTGCATTTCAACGAGAATACTAAGTACAGAGAGTAAAAGAAAAGAGAGAAAGAATCTCCGAGACAGGATCCTTTGTGGGTTCCTGTCACAATCAATCAAACAATGCAAACCGTGTCAAGGCGGAAACCGCTGACAGAAAGTATTCGGCCGAAGAAATCACCACCTAATCAGGGAAGCGGTAACAACCGGCAGAAGGTATCCTGCCGAAAAGACTACCACCTATCTTCTCAGTCCAGATCGTCACAAATTTTATATTTATAAGCAAAATAAGGTGATACTGTTTGGATCACGGGACGTGTGGTCACCTGACCCTATTTGCCAGGACTTCCAGTAGCTAGTTTAGCCGGGAGAGTCTCCAGCTAGTTCAGTCAGCACAATACAATCGTATTGCTCTCTCTTCTCCCAGCTCGCCATTAGATACCAATCTATATACTAGCGTATTTATCTTATCTTTTACAACCTCTAGATACTAGTTGTTTTATAGTGTTGAAACGTACGTACGGTCGGATGTTTAAAATCAAGATACGGAATAGGATCATAAATCCTCGAAGGATACCCTCGGGCACGAATTGAAGCCTTTAAATCGGAGACTATTAAAAATAGCTTCTTAGGTACCGGTTTCGTACCATTTGGACCCGACCGAGTGATTTCTAACCTTAATATCCGGCTTCGAACCCCGACTCCCCTAGCTACATAGCCGGGGTAGTGAATCAAGCCGGAATTTCACCCCCTTTATAGAGAAATAGAGAAAGAACTACGTCAGCAAGCTTTATCAATTAAGGCTTTACTTCGTATAAGATCTCGGAGCCTACCTAGCCTCCTCAGATCGTATATTAAACCAGCTTATAAAGGGCTTTCGTTTTACAATACAAGGTGTTATCTTACTCGCCAATGAAAACGAGGAATTACGCGCCGCCAACGAGAAGCAGAAGCAAAAGCGTACTAGCTCCCGGGGGCAGATACCAGCTAAAGCAGGCTTAACAGTTCAAGAAGCTCCTCAATTGATTCCTGAGCCGGTAGAAGCAATTGAAGCGCCCCCCCCCCCCCCCCCCCGGGCTGGCAGAGACGGCGCTCGCTACCTTGATAGCCACGGACGAGAGCATTACCAATATACGGGTTATATAAAAACCAGGGTCATAAAAGAAATGCATGTTTAGAGAATAGATCATTGTAGTGTATTTAATTCAATGGCGTTTTGGTTGAGATGTATGCATTTGAAATTAGTAGGTTTGGGTGGCCCAATCGGCTGTGAAATACGTTAGTTACCTTGTCAGAATGGAATAAGGCCCCCCTAGGCCATAAACAGTTTTTGTCGTGGTCTAGTGGTAAAATAGCTGTATTTTCCCAACATACCTAAGTAAGCGAAGTACTTAAGTTCGCCTTTTGAGATAGGCAGGCAAAACAAGCTATTCCCACTATATTCGCCCACTTCTATGTGGTTTAAAGCCATTCCGACCGTATAAATCTGGATATTTTATACAATCAACGCCATTACTGCACGACGACGCTATTCCGACCGTATATACCTGTCGGACCTCAGTACTAAAGACTTTGGTGGCTAAGGTATAAAGCATCTATGTTGTAGTTAACTAGTGAGTTAACGATATAAAATGGGTGCCTTAGGGCTTGGAGGTGATATAACTAGGCAGTAATGTTAGTTACTTCCTATTCATCCCACCCTCAAATTATCTCCTTAGTGTCTAGCAAGGGGGTCTTATGGATGGCCCCGGGGATAATAAAGAAAAGACCGAATGAAGCCGATTGGACAAATACCTAGAGTCTACACTAGTGTTCTAGGGGCTCTAGGCAGCCAAAATATACTGTGTTGGTCGGGTGCGTTCGTTTCCTAGTACGGAGCGCAGTTCAACCGGGTGCTTGCAGGGATCGAAGATTCTAGATTTATCTTGAATTATTTCCACTAAACTCAGGGGCACGTTGTCTTTCGCTACCGCCGCCACTTTTGTTCGTTCCTCAACCCGTGAGCCTTTTGTCCTGGAAGAGCCTCGAGGTCCTAGACTTTCTAGGCCAGCACTGTCTGCCCGCACTTGTTATCAATTTCGCAGGTATGATACTTCGATGTATTACTAGGGCTTTGTACGAGTCAAAGACTTTGGTGTAATTCTTCCCCAAGCTGACAAAATCTGTTAGGGGGTAAGACCAGGGCCTAAAGCTACATACAGGTTATAGCATATAAACTTTCATATCGCTACCTTCTAAGGTTGTCATTGATACCTCATTTTAACGGTGTTGCCCCAATGGATCAACAGTCCTTCCGTCTGGGAAGCCGAGCGGTGACCTCAAGTCTCCAGCTTTTATCCAGGACTGCCTGTCTCCATCCGATCCATACCATTTGCACTATAGCCATCTTGGCCAGTACCACCTACATTGGAGTTCTCAAGGACAGCCTTTTCCATGCGCCCGGAAATTTTGGAAAAGCCGACTGGGGTTCTTTGATTACAGGAAGCCGAAGCTTGATTGCCAGCCCAGAAACTAGTTGGAAGTGGGACACGTTCAATTCCAATGATATCCCTGAGGATTTTGACCACCAGGCGCTTATAACCCTGAACTTTCCAGGGTCCTATGCGGAGGCACCCCAGATCATTACATCGTCCTTCACTCCCCTCGTGGAACTGCCTGTGCTTCCCCTTCCTTCAACATCAAACCCTTTGACTGCGTATACCCAGGATAGTACCTTTGCCTTCGCGGTTCCACACCAAAAGGCGCCAGAATTGGTAGCTACTATGCGAAAGATTCCCCACAATAGACCTAATGTCGAATCTCTCGACGGGGGTGCCGAGATGGAACCGAAAACGTGGATCATGAAGGCGGCCCGACCCGACGCGAAAGGCAATCTTGCCCAGTGGGTTCATGATAGCTGGACGGAATTCCTTGGTCTTATCAAGCATGCTCAAACACTCGACATCATTGTTATGGCTATTACCTACATATCAATGTACTTGACGTTGGTTTCACTCTTTCTGAGCATGAAGAAGTTGGGATCGAAGGTATGGCTCGCCACGAGCGTGCTTTTAAGCTCAACGTTTGCTTTCCTGTTGGGACTTGATGTGGCCATCAGACTTGGTGTTCCGATTAACATGAGGCTACTTTCCGAAGGAGTGCCCTTCTTGGTTGTGATTATTAGCTTTGAAAAGAGCATTACTCTCACCAGATCCGTTTTGTCTCATGGCATAGAGCATCGGAAACCTCAAAAGTCACAAAACGAAAAGGGTAGCCCAGCCGGCCTCTCTGAAAGTAATATCCAGTACGCCGTCCGAGGTGCCATTAGGGATAAGGGTTATGGAATCGTGTGTCACTACGTTATTGAGATTTCACTTCTCCTTGTCGGTGCTGCCTCAGGCGTAAGAGGGGGGCTTCAGCACTTCTGTTTTCTTGCGGCCTTGATTCTTTTCTTTGACTGCCTGCTCCTTTTTACCTTCTATGCTGCTATTCTCTCGATCAAGCTAGAGGTCAACAGAATTAAGCGTCATGTGGATATGCGGAACGTCCTGCAAGATGATGGGCTTAGCAGACGGATGGCGGAAAGTGTTGCTAAAAGCAACGATGCCCCAGACATCACGAGTGCATACTTGTTTAGCAAGGATTTCAAGAGCAGCAACATTCAAAAGTTCAAGTTCTGGATAATCGTGGGATTCTTTGCGGTCAGCATTGTGAACCTCTGCTCTATTGCGCTCCAACCATCTTCTGGTGGTTCCTTGTACAGCATGTCGGGCTGGAACAGGCGTCTCAACGGGATGGCCATGAACCCACCACTCGAGCCGTTTAAAGTAGCGGGAGATGGATTGAACGAACTGCTATTCCAGGCAAGAGGGCGTAAACAGGCAACTGTGGTAAGAGTGCTAGCTCCTATCAACTACGAACTGGCACATTCCTTCGCTCCTCGCCCCTCCCCGTACCCCGACGATCACGAGTATATTCAGCACAGATGGTCGGACGCCCCATCCCAGCTTCCCGAATATGGAGTTGGCGAAAGAATGGTTGGTGGTCTCCTGACCAGCCTTGAAGATCCTGTCCTCTCAAAATGGATGTTTGTGGCACTTGCTTTAAGTGTCGCTCTGAATAGCTATCTCTTCAAGGCTGCCAGACTAGGGATCAAAGACCCCAATCACCCGGACCACCCTGTTAACCCAGTTGAGCTTGCCCAGGCTGAAAAGTTCAATGCTGCGCAGACTCTGACTCCTCAGCTCCAATTGAGCCCCCAGGTTCCCCAGACAGAGCAATCGACCCCTGTCAGTAGTGATAATGACAGTGAGGCTCCTTCGGCCCCGACACAAACGTCTGGAAAAGTGACTCTGGCCGTGCAAAAAAGCGAGAAATCTTCTCTATCTCGCACTCCCATGGAACTGGATAATCTACTCAAGCAAATACCCATCAGCGAGTTGAACGACGAGGATGTCGTTTCCCTATCATTGCAGGGCAAGGTCCCCGGATACGCGCTCGAGAAAAGCCTCAAAGATTGCACACGAGCCGTTAAAGTTCGTCGCTCTATCATTTCGCGCACACCTGCTACCGCAGATATCACCCACATGCTGGAGGCTTCAAAGTTACCGTACGAGAATTACGATTGGGCACGCGTTCTGGGGGCTTGTTGCGAGAACGTTATTGGCTTCATGCCAGTGCCTGTTGGAGTTGCCGGCCCACTCGTCCTTGACGGCAAAAGTTATTTCATTCCTATGGCAACAACAGAAGGAGTCCTGGTAGCTAGTGCAAGCCGTGGCAGCAAGGCTATTAATCTCGGCGGTGGTGCTGTGACAATCGTTACCGGTGATGGTATGACACGTGGGCCATGCGTGAGATTTTCGCTCCTTTCACGAGCCGGTGCCGCTAAGGCCTGGCTTGATTCTGATGCTGGTCAGACTTTGATGAAAGATGCTTTTAACTCGACCAGTCGATTTGCAAGACTGCAGAGCTTGCGGACTACGATCGCTGGTACGAACGTGTATATTCGATTCAAGGCAACTACCGGTGATGCCATGGGGATGAATATGATTTCTAAAGGAGTCGAGCATGCTTTGCATGTTATGTCGACTGAGGCGGGATTCGATGATATGAATATTGTCACCCTTTCGGGAAATTACTGTACAGACAAGAAACCCTCCGCTTTGAATTGGATCGATGGTCGGGGTAAGGGCATTGTGGCCGAAGCTATTGTGCCAGCGAATGTTGTCAGGGATGTTTTGAAGAGCGACGTTGACAGCATGATTCAGCTGAATGTGTCGAAAAATTTAATTGGTTCCGCTATGGCCGGCTCAATTGGTGGATTTAACGCTCAAGCAGCGAACCTGGCAGCCGCCGTTTTCATTGCTACGGGACAGGATCCTGCGCAGGTGGTGGAGAGCGCAAACTGCATGACTCTTATGGAAAAGTACGTTTGAAACTAAGCACTGACTTAAATTAAAACAAAACCACTAACCTTGACTCTTTAGTTACCGTGGCTCACTCCATATCTCCGTCACTATGCCCTCCATCGAAGTTGGTACATTGGGTGGCGGTACTATTTTGGAACCCCAGGGAGCAATGCTCGATATGCTTGGAGTTCGTGGATCCCATCCGACCACGCCCGGCGAGAATGCACGGCAACTTGCACGCATCGTAGGAGGTGCCGTTCTGGCGGGAGAGCTGTCTCTTTGTGCAGCTCTGGCAGCTGGCCATCTCGTGAAAGCGCACATGGCGCACAATCGGTCTGCGCCAACATCTGCAGCCCCCTCTCGGAGCGCATCACCATCTGGCGGAACTCGGATTGCGCCTAGCCCTAGTAATGGCCCTAAGATGAGTGCTGCAGCTGTGGAACGGACTAGACGCTGATTTAGTGAAGTATTGGAGGGCTGGACTACTCGCATGATCAAGAGATTTCCCTTCCATTATGTAACCGAAAATATATATAGATTAATGAGTAGCCGAGCAATCGGCGAACTCATGTTTATTTAAGCTCAGACTTTACATTAATTTGTGCCAATATTCTCGTTGTAAATATTGTGAACATATTTCTAAAACGATAGACATGAGTTAATTTTTCTGGGTATCTGTTAGCTGTTATCCTTTGTATTCCTGATGTCTACGTCTTTTTCGAAGAGCGTTCTAGGTAGTAACACCATGTCCAAGGCTACATCGGGTGATCGACTTATCTCCCGCTGTTACTCAAAGTTCCAACCTTGGAAGGTTGCATATTGGAGTTTCAGGCTAAGTGGATCGACCAATCAAACTGCTTTGATTTCCCTTCCTATTTTGGATCGCAGCCAACAGATTGGGTAGGCCATAGCGAGCCCCACTATCGGTCTGTCGCCGACATCGCCCAAGGTTTGAGATAACTGGGGACATGGGGTTAATTCAATTGACATCTACCGAGGTGTTCCAAAAAAATCATATATCAGCTCCTCAGTTCTAGAGGATATCCATCTTAGCTTCAACTTTTGTATACTCTTTCATCCAGTCCCTTTGAGGTAATTATTACACTCCAATATCACTTTTCACACCATTTATCCTTAGCTCTAATGGCGAACCGGGGCAAAACTCACAATGAAGAGGTCTACTGCATCAAGGACCTCGCGCAACTGGGTTCAAGCAAGATGAAAAAGGCTTATCGCGGTATGTTGGTGACCTACCGAAATGTAGGAATCTTACACCGGGTTACATCAATCGTTGAAAATGCATAATGGCAGAACGGCTGATAACAGCAATTAGAATATTACAACGAGGGAGCTATGGACCTCATCACGTATGTCATGTCCTACCATCACTGCGTTGCTTGTCAGACCGCTGATCATTCATAACGGTTTGCGAGAGAACGAATCAGCTTACGACCGATACATGATCCGTCCTCGTGTACTCCGCGATCTTTCCAAACTGGACACCAGTACTTCCATCGTCGGATGCAAGGTAAAGTTTCCCTTCGGATTCTCTCCAACTGCCATGCAGACACTGGCACACCCGGACGGAGAGGAGGGGACATCCAAAGCCTGCGCCAAACTAAATACTCTGATGGGCCTATCAAACTACTCTACAAAGGAACTTGAAAAAGTCATCTCACACAGCACGGGAAACCCTTACGTGATGCAGATGAGTCTTCTCAAGAACAAGAAGGCTATGATTCAGATGATCAAGCGTGCGGAAGGTGAGGCTTTTCTTTCAGATTGAACAGAATAGCTGTGTCCATTTATAACTTCAATCTCAGCCGCCGGATTCAAGGCACTATTCCTCACCCTTGATGCCCCGTACTTGGGTCGACGACTAAATGAGTACCGTAACAAGTTCGCCGTGCCCGAGGGCATGGAATACCCCAACCTGTTCCCGGGCGTTGATGTCACCAATCTTGAGGACGGCAATGGCCTACGACTCCTCTATCGAGTGGCCACAGATCATGCCCTTTTTCCGTCAACACACCAACATGGAGATCTGGGGCAAAGGGAGTATGTATACCATCTCCTTCAAAACATTGGTCAAGAAATCTCAGTTTATTAACATTGTCCATTACCAGTTTACACCTCTGGAGACGGCGAACTCGCCATCAAATATGGCTTTGACGGAATTGTAATCTCAAACCACGGCGGTCGCCAGCTTGACAGTGTCCCCTCCAGCCTTGACGTTCTCCGCGAGATCGTCCCCGTCGCAAAGGGCAAGATTCCCATCGCTGTTGACGGTGGTATCCGACGTGGTACCGATATTTTCAAGGCTCTGGCTCTTGGTGCTGACTTTTGTCTTGCTGGACGCCCGGCTATTTGGGGTTTGGCTGTAAGTGCTTTATTTGACAGTGGATTCAGGGACAGGTGTATTAACTTCTATTTTAGTACAACGGCCAAGAAGGTGTGGAGCTTGCTCTTAACCTGCTTTACGATGAATTCAAGACATGCATGGCATTGGCAGGGTATGGTACCCAACTGAACCTAACACATGGTATCATCAGATAGCTAACAATGTTTCTAGGTGCAAAAACGTGCCTGAAATTCAGAAGGAGTTGGTTTCGCTACTGCAGCCGGATGGTCGTTTGTTGAAATTGTAAGGAATGGGTAAACCATAGGATACATCATAACCAGGAGCTACATAGGACCGGGAAATTGTATGAAAATTAATTCAGGTATAAACTCTATAATTACGCAAGTAAAACACATACGAGGAATTCGGTCTTGGAAGCATTCTATATATTGTCTAGTAGGAGCAAATATCTTTGGCGGTTGGGCGATGTAGTCAAATTGATGAACATTGTTCCATACTATGATTCGTAGCAAAATCTAAAGGAAAGGTGAACTACTTCATGGATACAATACACCCATCTCAAGATCCAGGCAATATGTAATAGAAAAGTTGATCGTATTGACTCATATTGATCGAAACAATTGTTTATTGATACGGGTTGTCAACAGTAAACTTAGGCTTCCACAATCCCTTACTCTCCTTAAACTGCAACTGCAATCCCTTGAGAATACCATAGACCGTGCGAAGAGTAGGCATAGGCACACTCTTCGCCTCACCCTCGCGCAAAGTCTCCTCAACAATATTCTCAACCTCAAACAAATTCCCCTTCTCAATATCCTGCCACATAGAAGGCTTAAACGCTGTGTCAACGGATCGCCCCGAATAACGCTCTCAACAAGGTTATCCGTGAAATCTGTAACAATGTCCGCACGCGCTGCAGCAAGAATCTCCTTCATTATAGGACGGATAAGGTCATCAATGACATGTGCACTCATTCTCATGCGCGGCGTATCCATGCGCAGGATAGTAGAAACGGGGTTGTAAGAGCCATTGTAAAGCAGCTTGCGCCAGCGACAGCGACGGACATCCGCGTCATAGATCAGATCGAGCTTGCCGTGCGGGTTGTAGATATCGATATAACGCTTGGCCGCGTCCTCGGCGACTTGGGCTGGAACTCCGGGACTGGAGAAAGGGCCGATTTTCTGGTCGTCTGGATCATCATGCAGGATGTCGCAGTGTGAGAGCGTGGTTGCACCCACGAAGGAGACGCTGCTGATGATTGGGTTTGTGGGGAAGCGGGGATGATGGGCTTCTCGATGTTGATTCCGTTCTGGGAGAGAACGATAGCTGTTTTACCGGGCGTTACGGCAGGAGAGATGATATCCGCGACTGTTGGGGAGACGTCCGGGATGTTCTTTGTCGTTACAAGGATGAAATCAAAGGTGGGAGATTTTCCCTTACGACATCCGGGACGGCTTTGCAGACTTTAATGATACTTAGAGTCTCAATATGCTGATGTTTTCACGATAGAGGGAGAACTAACGATTGATAGGTCTGAATCTGATGCCATTGCCGTGTTGCACGGAATCGATGTTCACGCCGTTCGCCTTCACGGCTTCGTAGTTGGATCGCATAACTGCCGTTACCTCAGCTTTGCCACCCTGCTCGAGCGCATAGCCTGACATGGTACCAAAACTGCCGGTGCCGACAATTAGAACCCGTGCCTTTTGCTCGGACATTTTTGCGATACTGATAGAACGGTAATGGCGAGGAGCGATAAGGAATCGGCACGTTGAAGTTAAGGAAGTAGGTCGTATGAGGGGTTTAAACAACGGATGAAGCTCATTGGGATAGGTGATGTTACGCAGCAAGATAAGAGCTCCAACTTTACAAGTCAGCCCTAAACTTATTAGTACTGAGTAGGAAGATTATCGCGAAGGAGGAAAATATGAAGTTCCCCACTAACATGCCAGTCCCACCTTTGCTAGAACAGGCATCTCACGGCGGAACTAGACTGTCATGTCGATCGCATTAATGATAGTATTAAGTAGATGTTGCTACTAGAGATTATCTCTGAATAATATAGAGACAGCTATCATACGGTAACTCAGACCGTGAGGAAGAATGTCAATGTTTTTTTTAATCGGCACTCTTATATCACAGTGCATAGTGACCACTAGGGACTTTGGACCCCTTTGGATTTATTGCGAGTGCAAAGATGACCATCTACATATGTTCTAACTAACGATCAACACCTCTCTAGTCAAATATAAATTACTTTCAAGGAGACATCGGCGTTGAATCCTAAAGCCTTAGTGGTTGCTATGAACTATGATATGCTTGAGGTCCCTTACCTGATGGCTAGTCAAAGTTTGGCAAAACGGTAAAGGCGAGAATCATAGATGTAATTTTATAATATAATCAACTTTGCTATGGACAGCTCAAATCCAGCAAAGGTTATGACGAACAATGTCTCTATAGACGTGAAAAAATACCAGCATTCAGCGTCTTTACAACCTCAGCCGCAGCCCTTTCTCCGCTACGAATAGCACCTTCCATATAGCGCTTCCATTCACCAGCAGTCTCAGTGCCAGCAAAGTGCAAGTTGCCAGCGCTCTCGCGCAACACATCAGGGCCAAGAGTATCAGGACCAATGAAAGACTGAGCAAGCCCACAGAAGCCAGACTTAACCCAGAAAGGAGAGCGGAACTCCATCATCGCCTTGGTGTAGTATCCGTAGGTAGTGGACTCAATCCATGCCTGCTTCGCAGGAGGGAGTTTAGGGTGGAATGAGATGGTCTTCATGGCAGGGGTAGGAACAGCGATGATGATCTTGTGGGCACCGTAAACCACACCTCCCGCTTGAACCTTCACGGACTTATCCGTATTCTAGATAACTGAATGCACAGGACTAGAGAGTCGGACAGTGTTCTCTGGGAGAGATGATGCCAATCCCAAAGAGAAATGCTGAGTACCTTGTTGGATGCGGAGATATTGGCCGCCATTCTTGCGATCGTATCGCATCTGCAACAAACCACCCCCAGACTTGCAATAGTTCAGGAAGTACAGAGCGGAAATATCCTTAGGATCTTGACCCGGCATTGCCCGAGTCCAGATCATTCCAGTGGCAAAAGCTACCTCGCTCGCCCCGCGAGATCGCAAGTAGGCCTCAAATGTGATGGAATCCAAGCTAGTATCTTGAGGTCTCCAAGTGTCGAGAGCTTGGCATTCAGCCACGCACATATCGCGGATTTCCGCTAGGGGCTTGGGTAGCTTTATCAAACTGAATAGAAAGGAACTGTTAGCTTCTGCCATGTATGTTATCTGTCTATGATAGATGTCTTACGCTGGGGAGATCTCCATAGACATATGGAGTGCAGTTTCCATTGAAGTCCTGCAGAACTGCATTTCCCTGGATGTTTTGCTCAATGACCTCAGCACCTTAGCGCTTCGCCAGAGCATAGACCTTGCTCTGGTTAGTGTCATTGATCCAGCCAGCACCCAAGTCAATTACACCACCGCCATTGAGGGCTGAGCTCCACGTCTTGTCGCCACCACGATCGCGCGCTTCAAGGACGACGCAAGACATCCCCGCGCGCAGGACATCGTGTGCAGCAAAAGACCAGCAAGACCGGCGCCAATGATGACAACGTCGGTATTCTCGCTGGTGGCAGGGAGGACAGGAGGAATGGCGGGCTCTGGGACGGCGATTATAGCGTCGATCTCGAATAGCCATGACGCGACAGCAAGCTTAGGAACGGGGATCAGGGTGATGGCAGGTCGGTGACCAGCGAGGAATCGTTGGATGTGTTGGGCGTGTTTGCGATTGGCGGCATCGTAGTCGACGATGAAGAGTTGCAGTTTGACAATGTTCTCAATTGAAGACCCAGCGGCGATGATGAGCTTGCGCAGGTTGAGCAGAGCCAGGTGGATTTCGGACTCGTAGTCGGCTGGCACGATGCCATACTTTGTGCTTCCAGGTTGTCCAGCTACATGAACGAGCTTACCAGCGGGTGCGACCGTTGCTGGTGCGTAGTACGCACTGGCGGTGTTGGACGGGTCGACAGTCTCGAGCCAACATGCCATTATCAGACCCCAAAGCGAAGGAGATTCCAGAGAAAGAGGGGCTCCAATAATTACACCGCATCCCTGGCCAAGTAGAGGTGACAATGCCGGTTGGGGGCCTCCGACCTTCCCCAGTCGAATGCCTCGCCGCTGTCACTTCCCATCGACTTCGGAATGAATACCGAACTTCAACAATTCCAATGTCAACATGGCGAGGTTAATAGATGATGATATTATTAAAAAGTCATTAGATGTTCCATTTTGGTTTAAGATATTCTGAAATTTAAACCTGACTCCAACTTAATGGCTACAAACATCCAGTTGAAGGACCCATCCTTGCTGATATCAAAACTACATTGACATTAAATGTGTTGAAGCAAAGTCTGGAAAGCGATTCAATGTCACAGCTGAGTGTTGGCGATAACTTTTGTGATTTGTCAGACTGGGATATGGCCTTAGGCCCCCTATACAGGAACCGAGGTTTTTGCTATGGTTTTGGTAAAATAAAAATAGGCCGTATTTTCCAAGTACATGGTCGGAATAGCGTATTTTACTGGGTTCCAGTTCGGGGAGACTCGTAAAAAGTTCCGGTTATAACCCTCTGAAGCAAGTGGGTGAGAATAGTCATCAAAAATATAAGCCAAAGACATTACGCAATCGTGACAATTAGATACAATCGGTTCGTCTAGAATTCAATGCAAACAGATGGGTGTTACTTCACTAAGATTGATGGCTCGGCGCGACAGGGACTACTTCGAGGCGGGAGGAATTGGTGGTGACAAAACGCATGCAACCTGCCGACGGCAGGAAGCTATGGTACATAGGTTTTGTAGAAGGACAGGAAAATATATTAGATATCTTGAGTCCCACAAAATGATCAGCTTTGTGTCAAACCAAATAATGCAAGTAACATCGACCTATTATCATGTGTCTTGATGTTGGTAGTACATTAAATATGTCCCGGGTATCCTACCTGTCTGGTAGACCTCTGCATAGCCCATAAAGCCCATAGCCCATCGGCCGGCTATGGGCCCTCATTATTAACCAAACAATACAAACATACCAATTTATTGCAGCTGTATAATTAATATATTTTTTCCCTGTTCTTTAGGGGTATTAGTAAAGCGGTAGCGGTAGCGGTAAAGGCGAAGGATAGACGAAGTATAAAGGAGAGAAGAAGTAGATATTAAGAGAGAGAAAGGTAGGTTAGAAGATATAAATAAGAATCAAAATTGATTTTTATAAAGCTTTACTTTTTTATAAGAGGTACTTATTTTTATTAGGGGTTTATATAGTAAGTAGAGGTACTATAAGTATTACTATAATTGACCATAGAAAGTAGTATCAATCCTCTATAGATAATATATAACTAACTATCTCTTTATACTAATACTTAGTAATTCCTTCCAGGTACGAATTTATGGTTATTTTATATGAAACCTAGCATCATAATACTAAAATCAGTATAAAATCCACTTAATTCCTACTTCTTACTATGATAATATAATAATACTGAAGATATAAGTTGGTACCTACGTAAAATATAGTCATTAATCATCTATTTTATATATGCCAAGACTGTATTTGTGCATAGAAATGGGCTTTTGATGGGCTTTGATAGGCCCCCATTGATGGGCTGTGGGTTGGGCCGGGCTTTAGGCCGGGGGTCTGGGCCCATTGATGGGAGGTCTACTCTCTGGTTCCCGGGTTTGTGTAACACGACAGCTAATCAAGATGTCACCTACGCAATAATATTCGTTCAGATATAGCTGTTCTCGGAGATTAGGACTCATGACAGGTTCTTACTTTCTTGCTTTGTCTCTATGCCATAGACTAGGCTAGTCTAGAACTAAGTCTATGGTATCACCACGAGTATAATGATTAAGTTCTAACGCATTATATACTTCTATCAGACAGTGCAGTGCGAGGATATCAACGTAATAGTGAGAGACGGACATGCTGATACGTTATTTAGTGATACACTCTACTTCCGAGGCCTCCTATGGGATAGAGCTGACATATATTCTCCACATCGATTTATATATTTAATGGAGCAACTATTTCTGTGTCTTAGCACCTACGACTTTTCGGTGTTCAATTTCGAGAATATAATACCTCAAAAAACCTTCTAGTATATCCCTATACTACACAGAACCAGCACAATACGTCACGCCCGCTACACAAGACACAATTATGAACGGCCCATTTGGTGGAAAGGACGGCGGCGGCTACGATGAACAGCATGGAAAACATAAAGTCAAGATTATTGATGCCTGGGGAACGAAGTTTAAGACATACGATGTTCTGAACGGATTTCAGTTCATCTGGGATGACGGCCATCGGAGCAACCTTATCGGTCATAGGAACGATAGCAATTATAAAGGAGTCGAGTTTAACGATGGTGAAAAGATAACCGACATGACTGTCCATGCTGGAAATGGTGAAGGCTATGTCAACGGCTTCGAATTCAATACAAACCAAAACCGCCACTATTCGATTGGTGGAAAGGAGGGCAAAGCTTTCCCTCTTAAAAACCTTGGGACTGGTTATTTGACTGGAGCGACAGGCGGATATCCTAATCACGGCTGTGGAGACGTCGTGGATAGTATGGACATCTACTTCTTGACCTAAGGGCCTGTTATCTATCGGTAATGGCTCTGGTTTATATGCTGTTGTATTTTTAGTTATAGGCATGAAAGGCCTTGGTGTGGGTTTTTCCTCGGCATACACTGTTTTCCCCATACTGTCATGTGAATGCAAAGGCTACCAAATACATACTGTTAAAAATGCCATAGCCTTCATGACCTATACTAGCTATATTTGTATGTTCTATTAGTGAATTATTTCAACCTTTACTACTTGCATAACCAATTTGTTGTTTTAAAGTCACTAAATTAAATAATTCATCCTACATTATATTATAACTATATATCAGAGTATGAATTGAATATAGAAGAAACAATACTCAAGTTTATCTAAATTGATATTTTGTATAATTTACAAGATTCCAATTTGTTAAAAACATTGCTGTATCTAATATAGTTTTAAAAAAAGGACAACAATATACAATGTTAGAATATACATTAATGTTATTATGTATTGTAATAGGTAGTTTATTATTAATATCTAGTAGTTAGTGATTTCGTATCTAACTCTATTATTATCTAGAGAATTACAAAGGTACGGTTTATATTTATTATGTACTTCGTATAGAAATTCTGAATTAGCTACATCTGCTGGTTTAACTTATTTTTTAACTAGGTGGGTGGATTAGCGTGATACTGTTAATATTTTGATAGATATTAGATTCATCTTAAGGGCTTATTTTTACTTTACCTTACCTAAAAAAAAGTCAAGATATCTTAGAGTACACAAGGGCTGATTAGGAAAAGACCAATGCAAAATACAGACATTTCATGTAAACTCATTTCATTCGGTGCTTCATATAAGGTTACTTCATAACCCAAGATTGCATATTGGTCCTCACTATTCCACAACCGTACATGAAACCTTGAATTGAATGTATCATCGACCCACTGACTCCCTCTTAGCTCTAGAGTAGAGCCAATTCCAGTATCGATTCCACCAATTCAAAGCGATGGGTTAGCATTCGCCACAAGCTGAGCAAAGTACGCCTGCGAATTCATCAGCATTGTATAAATACTCCCCATCAACTAGAGCACTCTTACCTGGAACCAAGTCCCAGCCTCAGGGGCAGGCTGAAGAGCATCACTATATCCACAGTGGGCATCATAGCGAGTTGCGCTGGAATCCGAAGTACCATCACTCTCACCACCGGGCTTCACCCACACGAAGGCATCGGCCAAGTCATCACCTGTGTCAGTAGTTGGTCGAACACCAAAACCGGTTCCCTTGACATTGCACCAATCGCCCCAAGCATTTTGCGACGTGGGTTGAACTCCATTGCGGCCTGGAAAACAATAATTAGTGATGCTTTTGGCTTCACTCAAGGGCAGTTGACATGATCTTGTTTCAAAGGGGTTTTTAGTCACATACCAGTGTCAGTGATGAAGTGAGCATCCCAACCTGCACTCTTAAGCAGGGGAGCAAGGGCGTTGATGTATTTCTTCTCATCGCAATTGGCATCTCCCGAGGTGTATGATGGACAAGTAGTGAGAGACCAACCGTTGTAATTGGCAACGTTGGTGGCAAGTCCGCGCAGAGACGCGGGTTTCTTGGCAGTGTTGTAGACATTGGCGTAGAGCTCAGCTGCCGGGCTCAGATTGGCGGGCCAGCCAAGCCATCCCGCGTGTCCTATTTCAATAGTTAGTGTCTTCAAATTAAGGATGATTGTGTTCCCTTGATGCCGTCATGAAAGGTGGCAGGATACAGCAGGTGACCAGAAAGAAACAAGTACAAGATGCTGCTGAGGATCTTCCAGCGCATGTTCTGTTTGTGGCCGGGTGATTGTCGTCTTCAAGGATCCAGGAAAGATGCTTACCGGCGTCAAGATACATAGCAACATTAGCCAAGTTCAATTGAGTAACAGCGTAGTCGGTGCACTCCAAGTAAGCATCATGTGCGCCAGCACACTTCGACACAGCCATGTTGGTAACCAAATTCGCCAAACTATCAGGTTCTAGGGATAACATCAGCAAAGAGTATTCCATAACTCTGTACACCAAATCGGTCACTCAGCAGAGTTTACTCACCAACAACAAGGATAGTCTGAACGTCAGAGTATTCAACCAACACCTCACGTATAGCGTCAATGTACGCCTTATATTTCGCGACACCACCGTTGGCAATAGAGTACTCTCCATTGCTCGCCAATGCCGCACAATCACGATCAGGCAGATCATAAACAACGAATTGGCCAGCAATTGGCGGGCTAGCACCAGCTTTGTTTTGAGCCCTGATGTCGGCCAAGAACTCACCCATCTTCGGAACCTTGTCTGCAGTATCCCTAGAAAGCGATCTTAGTGTTGTTCTCTAGGTTTATCTGACACTCGAGGTGGATGAACTTACAGCCAATAAAAGGACGGAACTTCAGCGGCTGCACTGGCGGCGGCTTTAGCAGCACCTGTCATGGATGGCAAGGCCGACGCTGAGACTTCAGATGCATAAAACGGATTGACGTAAAGCTGGTGTCCTGAGAATGGATTTGTCGAAGCTGCAGCAGTGACTGTTGGGCTGGCTGAACTTGCGATTGCAGCTGCCGCGACGGAGGAAGCCAGTAGAGGCACGAATGGAATGAGAGATCGCATATTGGCGGTCTTGCGATAGTGTATTTGAATGTCTCCGGGTTCTTTGTGATGCTATTTAACAGGTCCACGGGAAGCGGATGTCTTTATATACCTCAGCGAGATAAATGTCTTGTAGCTCTTGCGGAGATTGAAGCCGGACACCCGAAGACAATATCACACCAGATCGAGCTATTGGGGTATGAGATCAGAACTCTCTCCGTTCAACTGACCATTTCCAAACATTGCCAAGAAACATTTACTGCGGAGAAGGCAGAGAATAGCATGCTCTGCGCTACACATGGTTAAAACTGGGTAAATATGGTCTTATCCGGGGTAGATACAACATTGCATTCATGAGGACAAAGTAATCTGCAGCCTTAAAACCACTATAAACTGCCTAGATAGTCAAGGGGAGGGGTTTTCATGTAATATCAAACCCCTGGCATCAGCACGGAAATGATCCCCCGTCCCCGAATAGGACATTCACGGTCGATCCTCCCCAAACTCGACGCGGGAGGGCCATATTAGGCTCGCTCCACATTGCGGTTAAGCTATTCGTCTCCATTTTGTTGCTACCATAGTACGTGACGATGGGTATTACAAGGGGAATTACTAGATGTTAACACAAGTCGATCTCTCCCTGTTGATGGAGGAATAAATTCGGGAAACCGTTGCAATCGATGGATATTGCTCCTATTTATTTCCAATTAAGAAAGAACGCCATTTGCTTTCAATAAGCCGCATTATTCACCACCCCCGGACCCCGCACCGTGGCATGTTCTGCAGCCGGATTAGTCTTTATATGAAACGAGTATATTTCACGCGAAGAAAATTAAGGGTGTACCAGCTGACCCTTTCCTTTGGTCCAGTGATCAGAGAGGATGAATCAAGTTTTTCAGCCTGAAATTACATGAATTCCTGCCTATCTTGGTGGTGAGCGGTTCCATAGGGGATAACTAACATGTTGCATTGCCCTGGATATACTATGTCGACAGGGGCTTTGATTTATTTGGAATGAGTAGCATTCAATATGACTTGATTCAATTGAGAAAGCGTAACACTGAAAGAAGTGTTAAAGAGTGGAGTGGTATCTGTATCATCATGTATGTAGTAGTCCCGGTCTCTGCCTGGGATATGTGCCAAAGGAAAAAAAAAGAAAAAAAGAAAAAAAGAAAAAGGGGAAGGTAAAAGGAAAGATCAAAAGAGTGATGGCAAAAATAGAAAAAGAAGTACAGCAGGACCCAATCCAAGTGTTTGTTCCTCAACGCTTGGCTTGATCGCACTCAGCCAAGAACTTGTGAATTCCCTCGACACCTTCATATGCAGAGTTACTCTCGGGTTGACCAGAGCTAGAGATTTCCGGGAAGAAAGGTTGATCTCCAAGCTCACTGATGTTAATACTAGAGTAGCTCTTGGTGGAAGATCCCCATGGATTGGCACCAAATAGCTCACTGTCCTCAAAACTGATCGCATTGCCGGAATCCCGAGAGCCATTTGGCGATGACGGCGTGCATGATTCTGGTGTCATCATCCCTTGCCAGTCGAGATCCGCTGGATACTGTGCGTTCGACTTTGGGGCTTTTTCGAAGTAATAATCAGTGTCGGAGGAAGTGGCAATGCTTGGCGCGAAAGGGAACAAAAGAGCCAGATCAGCTCCGTTGCGGAGATCGAAGTCTTCATCCTGCGCAACTCGGCCTCGCTGAATCCCGGCCTCACAACAAAGTTGTTCTACGGTTTCCGCATCACAGCCCGGGAAGCGCACCCGTATCGTTGATCGGTCGTGAAGGGAGATCGGAAGATCACCAAGTGACGAGAGACGCTTCAGGTCGTTCATGACCGCAGAGAAGTCCTTCAAAGCACGGGCAAAATCCGCAGAAAGCAGATCCATGAGACCCTCGGAGTTCAGAGAGTCGCACGAGGCAGAGCGGTCCTGCTTGCCGACACCACCAACAGCACTGAGTGCAGTGATGGTTGGAGAAACTTGGAAGTCAATGTATGAGCCAGGTGCGTAGTGCATGTTGGCATTCATCTTGCGCTCCGCCTGGTCCTGCAGCGTGCTGACTGACTTATACCGCTTCTCTCCAGTGCGGGGATCGATGCCGTCGAAGCGGACTTTCTGCCCAGACAGGAAGAAAGCACGCACACCCTGCGATACATTCTGAATAACTTGTGCTGGTGCAGCAGGCCCATGTGAAAAGTATCTAGCTCCACCAAAACGGCCAGCTCCAACAGCGTACCCTCCTGCAGTCCGACCGAGGGTACCGCCGGTCAGATTGGGACGAAGAGTAGAAGCAAAAGGCGCACGGCTGCTGAGTCGACTGACATTAGACACAATGCGAGAGGTGGTACGTGCAGTGGTATCAGCTCCTAGTCCGGATCTAATCGCAGAGGCGAAAGCACCGGCTGCACGGGTCGAGAAGTGGC